TCTCTCTCTTTCTCTCCATCCCATGCGAAGGGCTATCTCTGTCTCTGTCAATGATCTGATCACTGAGTAACAAATAGATATACCAGCTCTTCCTGTGTGGATCAGCCTACTAACTCAATGAAAATAAGCCTATCTTTTCTTTGCTCCGACTCTAAGCATTTTTAATCTATAAATAGAATAACAAAAGGAAGGAAACGAAATTTTAAACTGATTTCCGCCATTAAAAAATAACATGAAACCTACAGTTCACGACACATCGCATAGGAATTTAAAATAGCCTAAATATTAGGCCTATAGGTTTAATACATATTGCATAGAACATAGAAATTTAGATCTAGTGTTTTGGCTAGTAGTTATTTCATGTTTATTAGAATATAGTCTAGAATCTAATCATACGGCTGCATAAAAAGAAAGTTTGATTGAATGAAATAGAATAGGAATCTACAGAAGCGGGGGTAAGAAGGTTAAATTAGTAATTTACATGATTTTTATTGTAGTTTCACTGATAGTTAGGCCCAATTTTAAAATCTTTACTTCAGAGGTCAAGCTTGATCGTGTGTGGTATCTATTGTGTTGCATTGGAATGAAAAGCCCACATGCTTAAATATAGAATCTAGTAGTAGCAGGCCTATACTATAAGTAACTATAGGCCTAATGCCCTATACTTTAAATTTGTCACCACAAGAAAAAAGCCTATTTACTATTATTAGTTAGAATTAAATTGAATTGAAATATTTTTTTATCTTTATAGTTTATAGTGAATGCATGATAATGAGCATTATTCAGGCTGCTGTTATATTTAGGCTTATAGGCCTATATACTCTATAGCTTAGGCTATATACTAGAGACTATATATTATATACCAATATTGTGCATAAAACTTAAAGCATGTAAGCATACACAATTAAAATATTCATTAGACTTATAGTAACTAAGACTCGTACTATTTAGTATTACTTTAATATTATGTTTAACTATTAGGCATAATGAAATCATGATTAATGATTTCAGTGTTTTCCGCACTCGAGAGGAAAGAGGTTGTAGGGAACTTAGAGATTAAACCTTGAAAACATACTGGATTCCTGGTATGCGGCTCAGTTAATACTAAAAACAATTGATTTTAGTAATTAGTGGTAAGCTTTTTTTTTAAAATAATATATTATAACATGGTATCGCAAAGTTTCAGGTTGTCCAATAAATGGTAATTAGAGTCAGCGTTATTTAGGGCTATAGCTTAATGCTTGGTTAGTAATATGCATCTAGTTGGGAAATACATAGAAATTGAAATAGATAGAATTAAATGTGTTCATTCGCAAACGTTGCTATTTAAACAATTTTAGGTCTGCTATTTATTGCTGAATAATAAAATCACTATACTTATCCACTATATTATGTTTAAATACAGTGAGTTTAGATCAGTCGAGTAAATAAATTTAATAACAAGACATAACTAAAATTTACAAATTTACAATGTATATATATATATATATATATATATATATATATATATATATATATATATATATATATATATATATATATATATATATATATATATATATATGTGTGTGTGTGTGTGTAATTTGCTATTTTATAAAAGTATGTAAATCACAGAACAAACATTACTTTGTATTGTGTCTACAACTTAACACAAATGCTGCTACTTTGATGGATTGCACTAAATAGGGGTTAGCTTTAATTTAATAATTAGTGAGATATTCTTGCTAATCTATGTGTAAATTGCTTTTCAGGACTATGAGTGTGTGTTTTGCCATCCAGATTTCATAACTACAACTGATGTTCAATTACAAGGGATATTAATCAGTCTCCGTGGACTATACACTGTGCCTAGTTTCATCCTCAGGTAACTTTACTATGGGCAGAACCCATTTTTTAAAGTAATTATTATAGCAAGAGATAGCATTATATGTTATAATAAATATAATGGATTTTAATCAAAAATATTGTATTAATTATTGTCTTTTCTTAAATTCTAATAAATCAGTGAGTTGTACACCATAGAGGGTATTATATTTTAATGATAATTGAAACACATATTGTTATAGAGCTCAAAACTATGTACTTATCTAATGTAATTAATATACTGAAACAGTTTTATTGAAGCATATTATTTCATATTTTACCACACAGAGACTGATGTGTAAGCTTAAAGTAAAGACACCAAATCAAAGTATCAGTCATCAAGAGGGTAAATATTGATAGTCTACTTCATTAATCTTCAACATGAATGAACACAATTTTAAATCTATAATTTTTGCTGATAATGTTTGTTTCTTGTTATTCATCATGTTCAGTCCTTTATCTTTTCAAAGTAATTAGTTATAGTAAAGAAATAGTAGAGATAGTAATATAAATTTGTAATGTATTTCTCTTGCTAGTTCCACAAAAGAAAGTATCAAAATATTTTGCCTTTATTTCATTTACAGAAGAACATTCAAAATCATATTGTGATACACAAGTCAAGCAAGTCTATGACCAGCATTATGATGCAGGCCAAGAAAAAAGCTGGATATTTGATTGTAAGGTTGGCACAGTGTTGTGTAAAACCTACCTATTATATACTCTCTCTGTACATACCTCTTTTAATGTATACTTGGTTTTAAGTTAACGTAACGCATACGATGTTTTCTAATAACATTTTTGATTACGCACTTTGGCAAACATTTTTCGACATCCCATGTGTAGATGAAGCAAGAATTTTTTTTTAAAACTTCCTTTACACTGCAACTGTTTTCTAATTTATTCTACCCCGTCTGCCTACACACTTTACACTAATGAGTGTTTGACTTGTGGGCTGTCAGAATTGAAGGCAAACTGTGTAGTTTAATTTTGAACCGTAGGAACACTGGTGTTGAAATTCTCTTACATGCAGGTAGATCTAAATAATGGATAAAAAATATATTATTGAAATGTGTGCACTTAAAACGTGTATAAACATCGATAGAAATGTAATACTTCTCATGTGATACCTTAATGGTTTAAAATTGTGCAACACTTCTTAATTTTATAGAATTGTTTTTTTAGTAAAAATTCGTATTTTAATAGATATTACTTTAACATTGACACGCTATCCGCTTTTATTAGAATGTAAATTATTTTAGCGCATTCTTGTTTAATTTTACTTCTAGCAATACATTTAAAATGTTGCAGTGTGTGTGTATATTAACTTGTATACATCTAAACATTTATACATTTAATGCAAATTCCACAAAAAATGCTTTAAACCCTCTCACCTTCAGCCGTAATGGTCTTAAAAATATTTTTCTGCCTTGTGGCATACAGCTTTGTAAATAATTCACAATCAGGTAAGTTACTTTTTAAACTGTTTACGGTTACGTTAGTTAGTTTTTAAACCATTTTAATTTTAGATAGATTAACTTTTAGTCTGATTCTCATACTTTTTAGCTTTAGAGTTAAAATTATCTAATGATTTGTATTAGTGAAAATCTGATTATAACAGTTGTGAGCACTTTTCGTGATAGGGGAGAAAATTATTTGAAATAGTTTCTAATATATATTTAGTCATTTATAGGAAATTTCGTTTAACATATTTTTAAAACTGTGATTTTAGAATACGCGTTTGGTTCCATCTGCCTGTATGACTGCCAATGTGTAAACACAACTTATAACGAGACAGGCAATCATCAGGGGGAGGCATCCAGTAATTTTGGAGAATTTGGAGCGCTATGTCAATACAGTAGGTCAATACACGACTGAGCCCGCTTGTAGATGTGTTATCAAATTTCTATTTTATCAAAGTTTAATATTGTATCAGAATCGTTTGCCTTATACTATATAGTACGTCCCTTTCTTTCTATTTAAGTAAGTGATCATGATAACTTTAGCATGACCTGCTCATTGAATAAAACCAATTCATCATGTGAGACAGTGACCTGTAAATGCCTCTCGTGTAATAACAGTTATCAAGGAGATTTGTGTGACGTCAGTGAGTAGTTTCACTAGTACTAACAACAGGACTTGCCGCTAGGTCAAAAGATTCTATATATCACATTCCATTGTTCTAAAGTGTAGTGAGACTTTACCTCTCTATTACTAACTACACGCATTGATGCTAGACTCAATGATTAAACATCATTTAAATCCATTGTTTTAGCGTGTAATGAGATTTACTACGGACAGAATTGTGGCGAGATATGCAACATCACTTGCTTAAATCAAGTCTGTGATAATGTTGATGTAAAATGTTTCAATTGCTCTACAGGACACTCTGGAAATTTGTCCGAATCGGGTTAGTAGCATCGTATTTATTTTTTTCTTAAAAAACCAAAGCTACAGCACCCAAACTTTAATTCTCTTCTATATAAGCGTGTCTTACTTATTTCTATTAAATTGTTTCCTTTTAAAAAAAATTCTTATGGCTTAGCCTGTGATGAATTTCATTACGGATCTGGATGTAAGATGAACTGTTCATCAAACTGCACGGATTCTAAATGTAACGCAACCACTGGACATTGCTTACACTGTAATCCCGGCTACCATGGGGAGCTCTGCAATAAAGGTAGTTAATTATTTCTCGATTCATTTTGTCGTTCGATGTGGTTTTTCCCTCGTTTTCTTTAACTTGCTTTCGCGTCTGTTTGTTTGTTTGTTTGGTTCTCCAATCAAATCTTGCGATAAAAATTTCGGGCACTTTCCAGTTAGCTAGCGCGCTGAAATTTTCAGGGAAGCTTTGTTTCTGATGACAATAGAATATTCAATTGTTATTATTACTAAATTGATCCATGGAAAATTGTTATTGATCATTTTAGGCCCCTATATATTTGTACAAAAAAGGGACATAACCTAGTAATTATAATTTGATGAAAACAAGGTTCGGTATTCTCCCTCTTTTGGCTTACTGAGTAGTGGTCACGCGGTGTTTGTGTACAAACAACGGTGAAAGAAACGGCAACACAGAAAAAAGTTCGATTGGAAAAGGCACGTGTTTTTTACGAGTTGTCTTCGTTTACCCAAAAAAGTGAATGCGAGAAGATAAAATCGATAGCAAGATTTGAATGCAAACAAACAAAGATAAAAAGTAGAAAATAATTATCATTAAAAAGTTAAAAAAAAACACGTTTTCTGATTGAACTAAAAAGTAGAAAATAAATGCTATACGTCACAATAATGCAAGCGATCACTCTACTATAAGCGATGAAAAACGTGGGGAGGTAATGTATTAGTAAAACATTAAATATTAAATGTTTTTTTTTACAAAAAGTTATAAGTTGTTTTGAAAATATAATTGTAATTATTTTATTTATTTTTTGTCGATTAGTTTTTTCAACGCATTATAGTCAATATTAAATCATGTTTATTTATTACTGTGTTTTGTTTATTAACAAAAATATAGATAGGTAGCATCACCAAAAGTATAGCATCCACATATTTTAAATTTCATTTTTTTATGTTAGGTTGGTGAGCCTACATACAATTTACATTATTTAATCGTTTAACCCACCATGGCAGTGGACCAGTGGTCAAGTAGACATGGTTGATTTAGTTTATAAATTATTATGACCTCCAATAGCCAATGTTAGAATACATTTGTTTGTAAACAACTTTAAGTTCCATACTCAAAGACTATAGAGCAGGACACTTGTATGTCGCCTTAGAATTTGAAAATAATTTTAAAACAGTTGGATACCATTTTACTTTTCAAAAAATTGATTTTAATTGTTTAGTCTTTTTTTTTCAAGCAGTATCATAGAACAGAGAGCATACGTGTAAAACACCGTTTCGTCCTTGTCAACACTTTAAGGGGGTAGGCTCCAGAAAAAACCAACTTCTTAATTAAAAGCTTTTATTGATTCTTTTGTGTATATCTAAGTTAGGGTACTTGTAGGGAAATATTTCCATGCATCAGGGACTTTTTTGAAAATTTGGTTGCCATGGCAACGGCGGCCATCTTGAAAAAACATCCTTTACTGGAGTTCTAAAATTTCATAAACTAACATAAATATCGGCTATATAACCATTGATTCTTCTTGTACTAACGCTAATAGAGTCAGCTGGCTAGTTTTTGTAACAGAAATCACTCTAGAAATATTTTTTTTTAATTTTCAAATTTTGGTGTGACGAAATTCCAAGGAAAATAATGCTAAATTCAATGGAATTTTACCAAAATTTTTTTTGAAAATTTGAAAAAAATATGTCTAGCTGTTTTTCGGTAACAAAAATTAGCCAGCTGGCTCTATTGGTGTTAGTACAATAAAGATCAATGATTATATGGGCGGTTTATATGTTACTTTAGGAAATTTTAGAACTCCACATCGGTAGTTTTTTCCAAGATGGCCGCCGTTTCCATGGCAACCATATTTTCAGAAGAGTCCCTGGTACATCCAAATATTTTTCCTTAAGTACCCTAACTTATACATAGGCAAATAAATGTAAAAGGCTTTTTAATTAAAAAGTTTTTTCCCCGTTTATTTCGGGAGCCTTTCGGGAGCCTATACAATAACATAATGAGTGGCACTTTTGAAGATAAATAGATAATAAATAACAAAACAGGAAGACTAGAGTTATTTATCAGCCTGTTTACAGCGATATCCGTAGTACGGGATGTATAAACGTGATCCAGTTTATATAAAACGAAATACTTAAAAATAATTTTAATTTGCAACATTTATTGTGTTATAGGTAGAAACGTTGCGCTAAACATGGCAACATGGCAGTCTAGTAACTTCAGTGATTCAATGTATGGACCAATATATGTTTCTTCAAAAGCTGCAGACGGGAATACAAGTGTAGAGTTTTATAAAACATTTACTTGTACACAAACGTACAAAACTCCGAGACCTAGTACTTGGGGCATCACATTTCCACAGCCAATGTTTGTTACTCGCTATGTAGTTTATAACAGAGGTAAGTTTGGAATAGAATTATGAATTTCAACTTGTAACATAAAAATTGTAATGTTTTTGCATTATTTTTCTAAAATGCACTGCATAGTATTGTTAAATATCTCATCAATACCAGGAACAGTATGAATTCCTGCATAAGGCAGCTCAGGTGGCCATTGTTTGTATGGGTACTACAGTGACGTACAATAACATAACGTCCAGAATCTCTGATCTTGAGGAGCAGCTGGTTACTGGAAGCTGTAAACTTGAAAAAGAGTTTAAAGTATGTGTGATTAGTATTTTCATAAGAAAAGTAATTGAAGAGAGTAGTGTTACATCTAAGACACAACATAATATTTTGAGATCATTGGGTTCCAAAATACAAATTGGCCGTAAAACAGAACAATTTTTTACTATGCTTATCTTATTAACAGGGTATTAATACATCAGTGATTTTAAGTGTGTATCATTTAATGTGATTTAAGCATTCTAATGCAATTTATTGGCCAGACAACTATACTCCTGCTTTGATATTTTACAATAAGATATTGTATCACATATTCCATACTTTGTGAAGTGTTTGGCATGTACTACAGGCTGTCTCAGAAGTCTGTTTAGATTTAGTGCAAGAAAAAGATGACAACACACAAGGGGTTGATTCAAATGTATATCAGAACAACACTTCATCAAACTCAACAAAGGACAGATTCTCATCTATTATTCCAAGTAAATTAAACTCAAAAATAAATACTTACACTTAAGTATATATTTGAATATAATTTGAATACTTTTATTTAAAAAAAAAATAACCTCAGTAATAGGCATAACTTATATATATATATATATATATATATATATATATATATATATATATATATATATATATATATATATATATATATATATATGCAGGCAAGGTGTATCAAGCTGTGTTATCGAAGGAATCAAACAACCTTGGTGATTATATAAACGCTGTGTTAGTATCTGTAAGTAAAACAAGCGTTTTCCAAAGCATACGTTTATATTTTATTCGTATAGACCCTGTTAAATAATATTGTTAAATATTGCTAAAATAACATGTTTATTCCCCAGGGCTTTACAAAAGGAGAGAACCAGATACTAACACACCTCCCAATGCCAAACACAGTCACAGATTTCTGGAGATTGGTGGCACAGTACAATGTTAAACTTGTCATGGCTTTTCAAACGGAAGAATCAGTGCAAGAAGAGGTATCAAGACTATTGCTGCATGAGCACAATCTTTACACTTAAAAGTAACGTATTATTAGGAATGCTGATATTAAAATACATATTCGTTTTACGTTTCTAAAGTCTTATGGCCAGTACCTGCCAGCCAGTATAACAACACCTTTAGACTGTGGACCATATGAAATACACATAGGACCTGTCAAGTCTGAGAGTTTATGGAAGGAGCAACAGATCACTGTCAAAGTCGTCAAGAAAACTTCAAGTATACTATCAGTGAGTTGACAAATACACAAATTCTATGCATACATACAAGAGATGCCTGGAAAAAAACTCTGGTAGTAGTATTTAGTCATGCAACGATTGTTTTAAAAAATTTAAGTGCTGAAAAGAAATAGAGCAGGAGTGATCTCCCCTAAACTTTCTCAAATATTCACTAATGGGGATGGCAATCAAAGTTGTTTCATTATAAATTTTTCAAATCCTTGAATTTCTAAATAAATATAAATTTTTTGTAAAAAAAAAAAAAAAAGAATTGTATACCAAGTGTGTATAAAATTGTTGAAAATTATTGCTTATTATAAAATCCCTCAATTAGTTATTAAATAGTTAATTAATCATCTAATTAAATATAATTTTGTGTCACAAAACATTGTCTTTGAGTCTTGACCTACATGAAAAGTTTGATATAAATAGGTCCGGTTAAATTGTTTAAAATTTTGCTTGCAAGCTTCAGAGGAATCAAGTTAAAAATAAAATCTTATGCTTTTTGAGCAATAGGAAATAGTGAAAAGTACTACATCCTGTTTTATTTATATATGAAATTTTGTATACCTTACTGAAATAGTATTCAAGTAAAGGCTTTTGAGAAACCAAAAGTAGAATAAATGTCCCTTCCGGTTACCGGAAATAACATAACTACAAATTTGATATAATACTTGTGTATGAAATGTCATCAACCTTGCTGTAACTTTACTCAAATTATTGTGTTAAAAGACAGACAAGAACACATGCTTATAATATTACAAAACTAAGTTTTTCCAACTTAGGTAGATGTAAAACAATTTTGATTTTTTGCCTTAATGTAATATACTTTCTCTATACTTTGAATACGAGAAAGTAAAATCATTTATTTTCTCCTTTTTGGTGCATAATTGATAGAATGTTTTTAAAACTTGTTATGCATTTTATTCTATAAGGGAGATCAATGTTTTATGTATCTGTTAACAATATTTATATGCGTATTGTTGCATTTATAGAGATAAAAATCTACATTTCAGGTAGCTAATGAAACCCAAGTGACCCACATCGTGAGTAAAAGCACAGACCTGAATCCCAAGAATCTTCTCAAACTTCTTAAACACACAAGGTCAAACAATGTACAGGCACAGGGGAGAATACTCTACATGTGCAGGTATTTTCTTTTTTAAAAATCCAAACAAAAATCTTTTCCTTTGATAAACCACCATTTTTTATTTTAAAAAAAAGCCCTTTATGTGTGTGCTGAAAGATCATGTTTTGTTTTTCCATCTTTCCAGAAACGGAGCTGAGTACAGCGGCCTGGCCTGTGTGTTGAGTCTTCTACTTGACCGAATGGACCATGACCAAAGCTTAACAGTTCCACTTGTTGTTGGTGCCATCAAATGTATCAGACCACAGGTCATCCCATCTCTGGTAAACACGTGTTTCTGTTTAACCTTTATACAAGTTTTTACTTGAATACCATTGGTCAATACCTTTTTACTTCCCAGGACCAGTATCGATGCCTGTATCAGGTTCTGAAAAGGTACAACGAAACTACCCAAACCTACAACAACTATGATCAGCTCTCTACAACTCGGCAAACTGAAGAAAATGTATATGCCAACAGTTAAGACGTTATTTTGCATCATTTTGCCCAACTAACATAATAACTGACTCTTAGAAAGTGTGATGCCTGCATTTTTCTAATTAGGAGCCATGTTAACTCTTTTATTTACAGTAGTTTATTTTTAAATGTACATAATTTTGTTTAATTTAATGTCCTTATACAAGTAATTAACTTTTCTGTTATTACATCATTTTTTATATCACATGACAATTAAGATGAATAAGATATTAACATAATCAAGAACCCTGTGGAGACAACATTTAAAAGCTTCCAGTAATTCAATTTATTAGCTCTTTTATTTTTTTATCTATAATAAAATTACTTCAGTTATTGACACACAAGCAAAATAATTATTTTGAGATAGCATTATCATAATCAATGTTAAAATATGGTTGGTTAATATGACTTTGTCTTTTATAATTAAATTTTACTTTTTCTGCCGAAAAATTAATACCTGTGAGATATTTTATACTATGTATACATTTTTTTACACTATTTTAAAATTAAATCTGTTAAATAAATTAAAGCAATTTTCAAAAGTGAATATATAATACAATCCTTTATATTTTTTCATTTCTCTACTGTAAATATTTAATAATTTATGACTTAATTTAAGATCTAAGAGATGAATGTATGTCTCAATATACTAACTTAAATTTGCAGCTTCTCTCTCTCTCTCCATTTATATATATATATATATATATATATATATATATATATATATATATATATATATATATATATATATATATATATATATATATATATATCCAAGTCCTTTGCCCATGCTGTTTTTAATATAATATGACTTGTATCCTCCATTTCCGTACATTCAAATATTTTTTGCAACTTTAGTAAATAAACTTAATTTAACTCTTGCTAAAAATCTATTTGAGGTGTTTTAATTTTTTTAAAACAAATACAAAAATTTTTCAATTGCTGATGTTTCGGAAAACGTAATATCTATGAAATTTTATCTTTTATGATATATATCTACTCTAGCTGTCCCATGAACACCATTCACCTTTGTATCCGAAATGTGTGACTAAAAATATTTGCAATATTTTTCTACTGCGTTTTTCATTTCTTTTGCAATATAATAATAATAATAGTTCTATTGAACTACTTAGTACTATCAAAATATATTTTTAAAATTTAACATGTAGGCCTATATTTACAAATGCTTAATAAAGGTTCTAAAATGTTTTCCAATTTTCTCGGTATTATCTCTTGTGCTAAAAGCAAAAATGTTCACTAATTACGAGGTTAATTGTTGATATTGGTTGCAGTAATTTACTTTTAGTTCACTTAGAAGAAGAATGATAAAGTCATAACACATAGGCCTATATATTCTAAATTATAGGCCCTACATTTGGCTTTTAAGTAAATACTTTTTCTGATCTGTGTAGGCCTACTTAAATATAAATAAAAATATTCTAAAAATATGTTTATCGATATATAGATCGCCATGAACACATTAAGCATATTGCTTATTTTATTTACTGTTGACCGTTATAGGCATTTCCGAGGTTGCCTGTCTTCAGTTTTTAACATAGAATAATAACAAATACATATCAATCGATTTTACTTCATTAATGTCGCTGCCAAGAGAGGTAACTACAAGTTTCAAAAACACAGAGCCGGGTTATGTGCACTTAGCTTTCAAAATTTGATGACTAATAAATTGTATGTTTGGAGCAGTTAATATCTGACGTTTGAAATAGAAAGAAAGCTTTAGCGTATACAAGTCAACGATCTTAAATTCTAAGGTTTAAATATATGCAAAACACAGAGACCGGATAATGGCGTGTTGAATGAATTTGATGAGGAAAAAATAGAGACGGAGAGATGAGCAGCAATAGCGTCAACAAAAAAATGAATGAAGATAGCAATTAACCCACTCACGAGAGGGAGGGAGAAATAGAGAAGAAGAGGAAGGGTAAAAAGGGAGGAAGGGGGGGGGGAATCAATCGGGAACAGGAAATAGATAAGTGGAACATTGAGAAAACACGAGCGGGAAAGAGAAAGGTGGAAATACAGAACTGTATTAGGTAGAGTGGAAATAAATTATACGAGCCGACCAGCGGCGTATCATATCTAGTTGTTTTATTTTCTACTTTTCACCAATTCATAATTTGTGAATTCGACAGTACCAATGCTGCCACTGAAAATATTTGCTTTAAAACACTATCAGTAGGTCGTTAAGGACGATACCCCCCCCCCCTCCTTTCCACCCCCCCCCTCCCGTGAAAGCAGCCTCCTCTTAGTTACCTCCCCTAAGTTTAAAAGAGAAGACAGCGCGGTATGGTCTTTATACGTAGGAAGAAAACTAATATAATTTCCTAGAACTTAGGATACGATCATCAATAACAGGAAATACAACTCAGTTGTCATCACGACCTGTGGAGACATTTTTCTTTTGGTACATTCTAACACCAGCTTTAAAAACACAACCCAAAGAATGCCTTGTGCTAAACAAAATGTGCTAATGATCTGCTGCCATAAACACGAAGATCACATGATTACGATTGCCTGTATGATATAGTTATGTCAAGAAGCTTGTCACAAATAAATTTGCTTGTTCCTTCATTTAATTTTGTATATGCTTGGAATTTTCATCAGTCAATGGACACGACCGCCCCCTCAAACTCAATTGCGGGGTTTCCCGCTATAGTTTCGCCACTAGGAAGAATGTCTATTCGGCAATTCAAAATTTAAAGAGAATTGTGAGCGACCATCACAATAGGCAGTAGCGTAGCGAGGGGGGGACATATGTCCCCGGGCGCCGAGCTTAGGGGGCGCCAAAATGGGTTGGAAAAATAAATTGAAAGGTTGAGGGGGTGCAAACTGAAAGGTTGAGGGGGTGCAAACTGAAAGTTTAAGGGGGGGGGGTGCTAATCAAAATCTCGAGGGGGGGGGGGTGCAAATCGAAAAGTTTGTCCCCGGGCGCCGGGAAGGGTCGCTACGCCTCTGACAATAGGCATGCAGATATGGCGAATTAATAGATGCCATTAGGATTCGTTAATCTTACGTTTTATTTGTATCTCGATCCAACTACAATAATCATTTTATTGTCTCAGTATATTGCTTATGTTTGTGTTAGTTGTTTCATTGTAGGCCTACTATGAAATCAATTTAAGCTATTTTATTTTATCAATTTACGTAATTAATGACTAAGAAGAAAGTGCTGATAGCTGATGCTACTACCGTTTTGACATCAAGAAATATTACTAATAAAAAAAATGCTAAAAGTAGTATATAACTAAAACTCATTGGCAAAATAACAGCATTCAGGCCTAGGTTTTGAAGGATTGGAGACAAGGCTAAAACAACTGGTCCAGACTTGGAAAAAATGCCAGCTGATAAGTCTGAATATGTGCGAACCAAGTAGATTGATTGATATTATCTAGTAACAGATAACAGTATTAAAGTGTAGTTGTTTTCTCTAAAAAAAATAGTTTATTTTAAAATTTTCAGAAAAAAGTGTGTAAATAAACAAACAGCTAACCTCCCTCCCCTACCCGCCAATATCCATAATATTTTTTGCAAACAAAACAAACAAACAAAAAATAAAAACAACAATAATGCATAGTGTGAAATAGAAACATCGGAAAAGCAACAAGCCAAAGCCTAGATATCTAGCGATAAAATAAAGTAAATGTCAACATTCTTCAAGAAGTGTTTAAGAGTGTTTGGATTTTTGAAGCAACTTTTAATTTTATTGCCTGTCTTATGTAAAATCTGTTTTGAAGCTTTCTAAAAAAATGTATAGTACACCTTAATAAACATGAACATATTTTTAGAATATATATAAAAAATATAAACATCAATAAACATCAATGGACGCACCTTATTGGATCTAATCAACAATTATAGTAGGCCATCGCATCCATAGTGTAGAACACAGTGCTCACGGTAGATCCAGGGGCGCCGATTTGCACCCCGTAGGGGCGCCGCCCAAATGAAATTAATTTATGTTTTCATCGAAACCATCCCTCGGGTATGCTCATAGCTCTTCAAACTTAGCGATGTTTTAGAGACAGCACTAACTTAGTTTTATGAATGAAATACAGACATGACAAATGACATTTTTAATAGCAGGTTTAACTAGGTAACCACAGAGTACGTATATTAATGTGTATTACTGTGAGTAAAATGTCTTTAACACAAACACAGGTATAGCTGTTGTGATTTGCTTGTATTAATTTAAGAAAATCAATATCTTGCAATTTCCCATTAAATAGAGATCAGTTATTTAGACCAAGCTATTTCTGATAGTTTCATGATAAGAGCATATGTACACGTACACGCACACACTCACGTGAACGTACACATACATTGCGCGTTATGAACAGTATGCATTACAATGCTGTACAGAGGAGTACCTACCCATCCAACGTCAGGGGCGAACTTACAATTTTGCGACACAATTAAATAAATAGGTTATATATATATATATATATATATATATTTATATATATATATATATATATATATATATATATATATATATATATATATATATATATATATATATATATTAGAAGCAGTGGCGTAGCGAGGTCGGGTGTCACCCGGTGCGGCACTTAATGGTGTCACCCCCCCCCCCAGAGACATAGAGACCCTTCCTAGGGACAAACTTTCAAATTTTCGATTTGCACCCCCCCCCTCAAGTTTTCGATTTGCACCCCCCCCCCTCAAACTTTCGATTTGAACCCCCTCCCCTTGAGTTTTTCTCTATATATTTTGCTATTTTTTGCCTTGGTGTCACCCCCCTAAATGGTGTCCCCCGGTGCGGTCCGCACCCCCCGCCCCCCCCCCCCTCGCTACGCCCCTGATTAGAAGCAATTTCTGATATGGTATATTAAATGGTAGGATTCGAAGTGCATTAGATTAAGGTCATTCAAGTGATAAACACTAGCAAATTATCAGAAACATTTGAAGACAAATTGGAGTGTGACATGCCTATTTAGTTGACTGGAAAGTGAATGATAAAACAAGCTGCAGGAAATAAAGGAACTTGTGGATTCTGTTTTATTGTTGTGCTAGGTGGTCATGGACAGTGGAGAACATAAATAAGAAAACAAAACTAGAAAGTCGTGGATAATGCACACCTCAGAAAGACAATAAATAACATCACGTGTAATGTGCTGGTGGGGAATCCAAGTGGAAAGAGGCAGAAGAGTAAAAAAAAAATCATGAAAATATCACAAAATGTTTATAATAATAATAAAATTTTAATTGCACCGAAAATAATAAAAGAAAACTAATTTACTTTCTATAATTATACTATTTTTTGTCACTCATGAATTCTCTTCCATATTTTAAGACACTCAGTATTGTTTCCTCACCATTCTTTACTGTCTACATTGTAAACCTCGTCAAGTTTAAACTTCCTAAATGTAAAGCTACAACTAAACAAAGCACAATTAATTTAGTGCGTAAGTGGGGTACATTTCTCTATTTCACTTTTTTGAAATAGAAATTCGAAATTAGCATATTATAAATTTTAGATAAAGAAAAAAATTCTCAAGTTTCGTCTAGCACAAATTGAAACAGCTAAGGAAAAATACTATATAAAACAATTTAAAACAATGTTAAGAAACATGATTTCAGATAATATGTTTGATTGCTAATATGAAGAAAATATCTTTAGGCACAGTAATTGGAATTTTGTTTTTCGTAAATCTTATAAAAGTTCAGAAACATTATAGAAAACTCAGATTTACAAGTTAATTAATTATGGAATCATCACTTTTCATGCTAAGGCAGTAATGTTTTTGTGTTTTACCAGTCTTAACTTTTTTTATGGCCGATTTAACTCAGGGGAGATAACTTTCATAAAACGAATATTTCTTTTAGTTTATACAGAGTACGTTCCCATTAACGATAAACTTTGTAATATAAATAAATCAACCTCGACGTATGGAGCACTGGTGCAGTCCCCTTTTTTGACCTACATTAATTTTTAAATATAGAGTTGACACATGCAATTATTTGGAGATGTTTTGTCACTCCACGTTTACATTACAAATAGTAACTAAGTTAATTTAAAAAGAAAACATCAGATATCTATATTGATAGGTATATTCTAATTAATGAAATGGTATGAATAAAAAATGTTAGTAATTTGAATAATGTATTTTTAGTTTAGTCAGAAAAAAATAAAAAGTCACAATTGACAATTGTTCTGATTGATAACACACACTCTAGCCCTTAATCCCATAGGCCTACCCTTTAAATTTATAGATCGCAATAGGCGGAAATAAGCACGTTTTTTCTTTCTTTCTTTTTTGTGTGTCTGCTGTTGACAAGAATAAGAACCTCATAACATTTTGTATCTTCAGATCTTAAAATAGAATTGCTCAGTTAGGCCTATTTGCTTGACAATAATGTTTACTTCCTTGTTATAAATGTTACGCCGTACGGGGAAGTAATATGTTTTAAACAAACAGAGCCTTGTTGTTTCCAACTGTGAGAGACTACTGGTCAACTGAAGCTTATCTACAGGTTTCATGTGTTGCTGATGTGAGTCTAAATATAGATATACGTAAATGGTGCAAGAATTTGATCCTGGCTGTAATCGAATAACAAAGCTTAAATATAGAGAAATGATAGCAAGAGGTAAAAAAGAACTACGAATTGGGCGAGTATTTAGGAGCGAATATTGAGTATAAGGAAAAAAGATGTATGAGGAATAATGTAAATCCCGGAAACTAAATACAATAAAATGAGAGAGAAAAAATATAGTTGGATAATAATATATTGACAGCTGGGAGAAGACTGTTGTGAGTGGGTGAGGTGAGGTTATGGAGAAGGAAAAAGAGTAGGCAAAGGGAAAGGCGTAAGAAGTTAATGCAGATAGAAAATAAAATATGAAGGAAAGAGACGTAATTGTGAAATGGGGAGTAAGAGAAGGGGGATGGGGAATGGGCTGAAAGAAGGACTAAAATAGAGAGCAGTAAAACAGAGAGAAAATGTAGGAATAGATGAGATAGATGATTGAAAAATGCGGAGAAGATAGATATAGTGAAAGATAGAAAGATTGATAGAAAAAAATAAAAGGAAAGTTAGACATAGAGAGAGTAGTTTATAGAGTGTCTGGCCGTATGGAATATCAAACAACGCTCCACCACCACTCTCCAACCCCAATGACCCTAATGCACAGACCCACTTCCTTCTGGATTTGTGTGATAACTGATTTCAAATGTGATACACACGTAGGAGTGTTGAGCAGTGTGATAGCGTTAAGGGCGGGGCCACGGCGTTTCAAGCGACGGTCTAGTAATATCAAGTACTGTCCTGATCACTGATATTTCTATTTACTTGCGTTACAATGCATCGACAACAATCTTTAATCTTAAGCCGGCTGTTTAGCTGACCTGTGCCGTTTTGTATTGTGGTCTAAGTATTGTGTTCATTAGATGATTTTTTTTTATGTGAGTGTCACTATTTCAGCCTGCAGATTTTAACAACACATGCACGTTTTGTTAGCATTGTCTTAATTAGTTACATATTATATTAATTTTAATACTTCAAATTTAAAACAAAAGCTGTTAGTTTTTTGTTTTTAAATCTTTGTTTTTATTTATATGCTTATTTTTATTTAAAAAGAATATACCGATATTGTGACAAAAATGTTAGTCTAGAGTTTACAGCCATGTATGACCAATACAAAATTTCAACATAGAAAACTCCCCGTCTAGAAATTCATATAATTTAACCGTTGATCGTTGATCACACATATTTAACAAACACAATATATTTGTTCATATACATTTTAGACAATCAGAAAAGGAAGTGAATTACTATGCTTTTGTTATCAATACAGAACAGGATGACATTTAGAAGAGCCTGGGAATAGCACTTAGCGTATATACTCATAGAATATATTTTAGGAATGAATTCACCATTAGGAAATTTGCATGTATGGTTTGGTGTTCATATTTAAAAGTATGTATTCAAAATGTATATAAAATGTTCTTTATTTTTACAGTGTTTAATTATAATTAATGTATCTCTACTATAGCACATTAGAGACATGCACACATGTAATGCACTTTCTAATTATTAAATTCAATGCTATATTATACTTTACAGGAGAAGCAGGACAAAATTCACTCATGGCATGGGCAATAGTTTTTTGGTGGTGTCATTTAGTCTGGGCTGCTTCAGGTAATATAGATATCGATAGGTCACACGATTTATTTGTATTGATCTTGATATTTTTCTTTATGAAAAGTCGTATTCTTTTTCAAAACATTTTTAACTGCAACTGTAATTTAGTAAAAAAACTACATCTGATGAAATAATGGTTGTGTTTCAATTATATTCACATTTACACTATCATGACAAATTAATAGGTTAATTACAACTGTTTTTGACTAATTAGAAAAAGTTTATCATTGTATATTATTATAAGGATGCAACACTGGATGGTTTGGCTCCAGCTGTCAATACAAATGTCACTGTGCCAACAACAGATGTGATGACCAAGGTCTGTGTTTAGCTGGGTCAAGTTGTGAGCGGGGCTGGTTTGGTCCACTCTGTCAATACCGTAAGTTTACAGCTTTACCTAAGCATGACATTTCTCTTCCTCCTTTTTAAATCCGTATGTATTACTTTCTATGGTGCCTCTCAGTATACATAGTGAAGTGTAGCTTCATCATTCCCAAAAATCCTAATTTAAAGCAATAATAAATTCATATAAAACAGATAATAATATAATAGACAATTAAACACAAAAAAATATGTACAAACAACAGCAAACGTTAGTTTGATCATTATTATTGGAGAGACTGCAAATAAATTAGATCTACGTATCCTTCCAAAAACTATTTATTGCGACAACAATGCGAGCAAGGCGGTGATGATGCTCTTAGACTGCGACATACCTAGGCCAGATGAGAATTCTAATCTGAAAACATTTATATTTCTTTTATTACATAACATTCATTTTTAATGTGTTTTCGTTTATGTGGTTTTAGCATCTACCCTTGAGTAAAATATTTTCACGAATTTACAATATTATGTCATCTTTAGTTAATAATAAATGCAAAAAACATTACAATGTTACAATGTCTTGGTTATAATGATTCTTCCTTCAAACAATTTAACCTGATTTTTGTTCAGGCAACATAATTTTATTCAAATTGATATAGAAATGTTATTACTTTTCCCTTAGAGGTATTAGGACCACATAACGCAATTAAGGGTATCATGATTCAACCATAACCAGATACAATTAGATAAATATCAAAGTTGGTTATAGCTGAGTTGGTTATAGAAGAGATGGTTATAGCTGAGTTGGTTATAGAAGAGTTGGTTATAGCCGAGTTGGTTATAGAAGAGTTGGTTATAGAAGAGATGGTTATAGCTGAATTGGTTATAGATGAGTTGGTTATAGAAGAGTTGGTTATAGAAGAGTTGGTTATAGCTGAATTGGTTATAGAAGAGTTGGTTATAGAAGTGTTGGTTATAGAAGAGTTGGTTATAGCTGAGTTGGTTATAGAAGAGTTGGTTATAGAAGTGTTGGTTATAGAAGAGTTGGTTATAGAAGAGTTGGTTATAGAAGAGTTGGTTATAGCTGAGTTGGTTATAGAAGAGTTGGTTATAGAAGTGCTAGTTATAGAAGAGTTGGTTATAGAAGAGTTGGTTATAGAAGAGTTGGCTATAGAAGAGTTGGTTATAGAAGAGTTGGTTATAGAAGAGTTGGTTATAGCTGAGTTGGTTTTAGCTGAGTTGGTAATAGAAGAGTTGGTTATAACCGAGCTGGTTATAGAAGAGTTGGTTATAGAAGAGTTTGTAATAGCTGAGTTGGTTATAGCTGAGTTGGTTACCATCTAGTTTTCGATTGCACCTACAACATCCTAACAACTTACTTGTGCAGAGGATCTGTCAAATACTGCAACAATAACACCAGCATCGACTTCACATAATTTTGACAACGGCAACAATTGCTCACGACCACAGTCTTTAAAGTTTGTATGGCAGCAGTGCTATGAAATTAGACATATCAGGATAAAGCTAGGCAATTCAGGTTTGTTGATTAGGATTATTTGTCAATCTTTGTCTTTAAACTAAGGGTTTTGTTTTACGCTAATAACATGTGCATTGAAAATAGTTAATCCTTTTTCTATAACTTGTAGTTAAACTTGCTTTTACATAGAAGGTAAATAATTTTTATTTGTATATTGTTACAATTTAGATAAGCTAGTACATATGCAGTATAGTCGTTACCTGAATGTCCAATGGATTTTGTAAAATGTTCTAACAATCATTACTTTTTTAACCTCTTAAAGTGTTATTTAAAACAATGAATACAATTAAAACTAATTATAGACACTCTTGACTTTCAAAAATAACTTTACATATTCATAGAAATCAAACCAGCTGTTGTCTTCTCAAACAAATGACAATTTCAATTTGTTTTGAAATGTATTTTCTTACCTACTACAGAATACCAAGAGTTAATTACATGACATTTTACAGATTCTGCAGAAAATATCATTGTTAGCATGCAGAAAAATGCTTCGAGTGGCGAAATACGATGTAGAGACCAGAAAATGTTTAGAGTAAACAACAATGTTACTGATATTTACTGTAATGTGAATCAAACGGTTCAGATCCTAAATATGACCTTTGGACCAAGCACCTCAGTTTGTTCAATCAACATAAATGGGGGTAGGTTTTATCATCTGAAACGTTTTAATAAATATTAGAAAACAATTATTACAAACGTTAACTAATTGTGGACACAGGTTTGATTCCAATAGAAATACAGTACATAGGTATACACGTCTCGTTACAACAAACGATACTGCTCAATAATACCAAACAGTATTAATTAAGTCGCCTATTACTTAATATTAGAGCACGTTAATTTTAGTTAATCTTAGTTCCACTGCACTATTTATACACTCACAAAAAGGCTTATAGGGCAGATACATACTTTATTTCTATGATCATCCTATAACAGGATAGACTGTTCATCTATATGTCCACATATTTTAAAGGAAACACATTTTTGTAGAGCTGAAAAATGAAAATGTAACTTAATGTGAATAAAGTGTGTGAACGTGTAATGATACAGGACGAAACGTAGCCCTCAAACAGACGACATGGCAGTCCAGCAACTACAGTGACTCCACGCATGTGTACAGCTCCACACTAGCTGTAGACGGCAACACAAACGCCGAGTTCAGCAATAAATCGTGTACACATACAGCTGAGGGTAATCCGGGGGTCTGGCGAGTAACATTTACCTCACCTGTGAGTGTAAACAGATACGTTTTATACAACAGAAGTAAGTTCATTTACTTGGATTGTATGCGATTTTTAGCCATTTAAAAATAATTATCGCTCCCATATATATATATATATACATATATATATATATATATATATATATATATATATATATATATATATATATATATATATATATATATATATATATATATATATATATATATATTATATATATATCAGGGATGTGACTTTTCCGAATTTTAGCGGAAATCCGATTTTTCCGTTTCAGTTGCGATTTTCCTGATTTAATTTCGCCGAATTTTTCCGCCGACTTTCAATTTTTTTCGATTTTTTTACGAAGTCTTAAAAATTAGGAAAAAAAAAACGGAAATGTCTTCTACGGAAAGGGCCGACATGCTCATTCCACTTATTTGTATTTAAATTTAAATCGACAACTACTGTACTTAGGTCCAACTCGAATATACGCATTTCTTTTCGATTGGTCGATTGCGCTAGGTATGACTGTGCAAGATTAAATGTAGATTAAGATTCGGAATTTCGGCGGACTTAAGAATTTTTCAAAGCACATTTTTTTAGTCCAAATATTCCGCTGATATTTTCAGTTAACTATTTATCATAAACACGGGAATAGGTAATCTAAAATAATGCAGTTATTCAAATGAAACTTTAATCTCTTTAGTCTGGTAGTCTAGCTATTTGATATAGCCTAATTTATCTATCGGTATTTTAACCCGCCTAAATCTACAGTTTCTCTCTGATTCTATTTTATTTCGCAATCTCAAATTAAGAACTTAATATTGAAATCCTTGCAAAAGGTGACTATGAGGACTAGACTAACCCGCCCCACCTCGTAGTAACGGTGGCTCTTGTGACCTCACCTTGACCCCAAGTACGTGTTCGGTACTGCTTGTGAAAAAAAAATGACGTCACAGTCAATTTCAAATAGCTGTTCATGCAATACGTATGCTTCGTAGGCCTACAGATTTAAAAAATTATTAAACTCAACGTGACTACGACCGTGTCTTTTTTGAGGAAGAAAAAATGCGTACAGACTGTTTTTAAATTTTTAATAAGGGGTCTTCCATAAATAACGTCACACTCGTAAGATAGTGTAACGTCATATTTTTGTATTTTAAAAAAGTAATGTTCGAAACAACTGCATTTTAGCCGCTATTACGTGTTTTGAAAAACTGTTGTAAAACATTGTAATAGAGATTGAATAAAATACCCTATGTTGGTCGACCTCAGTCAATATTTTAGAAAAAAAAATCGATGTTTAAAAAAAAAATTCAATTCGAGGAGGGGGGGGGGGGGAATTTGTTGGCTGAGGTGTCACGTCATTATATGGGGAGGGGGGAGTCTGGATTTTGTAGGAGAGAGGGGAGGTAAATATCGTAAAAAAACGTGGATGTACCCTAACAATTTACAGCAATTCCAAAAATACATAAATATCGATGTGGCTTGGCTATCAAAATGATTAACTTTGGTTCACACATCAGACCATTTCTAATCTTAGCTAACCTGATCCATTTCATTTTTCCATCACATGAACCTAAAACTTTCAAATCATAACTAATCTAAATCTAGATCTATGTTCTTTACAGTTGAAGACAAATATTTTTCCCAGTCCAATCTTTAAAAGAATATAAGGCATTAGGCCCCTAATTAAAATTGAAAACAGGAGTACATCTAGAATGTACACTAGATTAGTACAGTTTAAATTAGCTTAATGGTAAAATAAAACTTAATTGCTACTTTTGTTACATTGTAATTTTTAAGAAGTTGTTTATAAGGTAAACATTAAATTGCAATTAGACAAGACTTTCAATGTTATTTTAGAGTAACATAAACTTCTTGTATTTAAAATAGTAACTTCATTAAACAATTAATTAGTACAGTAACAGTACTATAAAGCTGCTTAACTGCGATAAAAAGTAGATAAAACATATTGAGTTATTATCTAAAGAAAATTTCCTAATTTTTTTCTCCTGGTCTGGTCACATCCCTGAATATATATACAATTTATATTGTGCCGTGTTTAATAATAATATCATCTAAAAGAAATATATTTAAAAATCCCTAAGATACTTTTAGTATGTTTTAAAAATGCTTTCCTTAAAACAAATTCAGAATAAGATATTATTTATTCAATTGTTCAATGTATTGCTTGTTGTTGCATATAATCACATTGACTGTAGTGTAAACAATACAATTTTTATAACATTTTACTAAGAAAACTTAACATCGCACACAAGTATTTTTGTGTTATATTTGAGCAGATAAGAATCCCGATCGTCTCGCAGGATTTAAACTCGTTAGTTACAGCTCTGATCATGTGAACCTGTACAGTTACACTGACTCTACCAATGCTGCAGGCACAAGCGTTGTTAACGTGTCAACAATAGCGACGCAGGGTGTATCTTATGTAAATATAACTGCCCGGGATATTTTAACTCTTTGTGAAGTGGAGATTTATGAAGGTTTGTCTTATAAGTGTAGCGTGTATTAACATCGTTAAATAAGTTAAACTCTCACATTAAACGAAATGCTTATTAAATATGATTTTTACAAATGTAAATTTCAACTATACTCAAAATTAAAAGTCATGCATTTATGACGGCACAAAAGAACATTCTAGAACCCAGTGGCGTAGAGAGGTCGGGTGTCACCCGGTGCGGCACTTAATGGTGTCATCCCCCAGAGGCGTAGCGACCCTTCCCGGGGACAAACTTTCAAGTGTTCGATTTGCACCCCCTCCCCCCTCAAACTTTCGATTTGCACCCCCCTCAAGTTTTTCTCTATATATTTTGCTATTTTTTACCTTGGTGTCACCCCCCTAAATGGTGTCACCTGGTGCGATCCGCACCCCCCCCCCCCCTCGCTACGCCCCTGCTAGAACCCACTCTGTTGTGAAGTACCGGTGTATCAATTAATATACCGAAGGGGGGTGAGAACATGAAATAAACGACATTTACAAATGAATAGCCTACGTGATGAAAGATTATGTTTTTACTATAATGGCTTGTTAATACACATAAGTGTTTTAGGGTTTTCATCGTAGGTGTCCCTTGTAACTCTACCTTTTTCTATCATCACGTTTTGTTATCTAGCTCAGCATTGACACACATTTACGGCGATAGTTACATATACCTTTAAACAAATTTAATTTAATTATTTATTTACGAATTGTGTGCAGTGTTTGTATATGTATACTGTGTTTTTTTAAATATAGTATTTGTGGAAAACTCAACTACAACTACTTCAAAAGTCCATCTAAGATATAAACTTGCGGTTCAATTTTTCTTTTTTTTATACCCGAAACCATTTTGAAATTATATAGGATGCCTCATCGGATGGTTTGGACCAAGCTGCCAGTACAAATGCCACTGTACAAACAACTACTGTGACGTGTCTGGTGAATGCTATGGTGGATCCAAATGTGACAGAGGATGGTTTGGTCCACTTTGCCAGTATCGTAAGTAGTATTATCTTGTGTCTGTTTCTTATGCATTGCGTATTAATAACATCTGACTGCCTTCTCAGTATTAACCTAATGGATGGTTCCATATTATGTTCGAATATTCTGAAATCGCTATGTATAAACTATTACTATAACATTACTTTTGCTAATATAAGATGAGATGCTGAGTTGTTTATATGAATTACAATTATACATAAGTGTAATGACAACATTAATAAAATATAAAATACAATTTTAAAATTACCAGAATATTTTCACAAACATTTAGCTTATAAAACTTAGAAATTAATTTTTAAAAATTATTTGAATTATAAAAAAATGCCCAACGTCATCACATTTTAAGCATCAATTACACATGAATTATTTTTTATTTTTATTAAATCGTGATTTTCCCTGGCTAAGAACAGTTAAAATTATCACAGTACATTCTAGAGCTTCCAGATATACTTAGAAAAATTAACACTCATCAAAAATCAGTTGGGATAGCCAAGTGTTAAGATACAACATTCTAGACAACAAGGTTTACTGGAAATTCATAAGAAATAATATTTCAAGAAAAAAATAGCTAATTCACTAGAAACAACAGTTTGTTATATATATATATATATATATATATATATATATATATATATATATATATATATATATATATAATATATTCATTTTAAAAACAAGACCAGTCGATTGATAAAATCTGAATTACTTTTATACAGAAGACCTGGCTACATTAAACGCTGACTTAGTACCAGAGTCCAGTAGCATAATAGACGGACAGGATGTGACGTGGACAAGTTTACAAAACGTAACAATAAAATGGAGTGTAGAGTACAGAGTTAAGTGGATACAGATTGTGATGGGGGACACAGGTAGGATAGGGAAGTTAACATCCTCTCATGTGTTTTAAATACTTGTGCTCATTGCATAGCATTTTATATGTAGAATATGTATGGTGACAAGTAGTGTCTAATGGAGGAATACATTGATTAATGGCAATTATCATTAAAATAAAATGCTTGTAGTTTATGAAAACGTAAAAATAATGTGTTATTATTTTTTCTTACAACACACTGAACAACGCATGTAATAATCAAACAATAAGGTTTTATTTTTATATGCTGCTTACATTATATTACGTGATAGTAAAATAATAAATTGTTATTTCAGGCTCAATTAAAGACGTACTCGTAACAATCCGAAATAAAAACAATAACAGGTCTTGCATTGATCCAACAGTAACCAAAGTAAATAATGTAACAACCGATATTTTATGCAATTCTTGGATTAGAACTACTCAGATATTTATTGATTTCAGAACATCAAAAAATGTGACTTCTCTTCACATTAGTGGGGGTGAGTAGAAGTAGAGATACACTATTTTTATAAATTAAATGAAGAACACAATGTTTTACTGTGTTGTACATATATAAATTTACAAATATGACATCAGAGAAAACAATGGACTTCTTAGTGACACCTTTTAAGATGCGTGCAAAATTTGAAGTAATCTGTTGAATTAAGTTCGCTACTATAATTAACGTAGTTCATCTAGCAATGGTACGTATACCATAATGAGTGTATAAGTTTGATTCTAAAATTCACGGGAGGTCTGTACTAGAAAGTAATGTGTTGTAGTATATTTTTGGTATATTGTTGATACAGTATTGCAACAAAAAATGGTGCACTTTAAATAAAAAATATAATTCATGTTAATTAATTATTTTTTTCTTATCAGGCCGAAATTTGGCTCTAAAAATGGCAACCAGACAGACCAGCGATTACGTTGATACTGAGCGAGGCCTGACGTTTGACTCTACGAGAGCTGTGGATGGGAATCCTAGTGGAGATTTCAACGGGCAACTGTCTTGTACGCATACTGAAAAGCATCCTGTACCCAGCAGTTGGACTGTGACATTTTCTAGGCCACAGTTTGTTACAAGATATGTCATATACAACAGGGGTATGCGAGTTACTGTAACATTTGGTAATATAATGCAATTCAAAATGGTTTCAAACCATTAAAATGCTCTCGATATGATTTACCTAAATCGATTTTTTTTCATAAAATACAATTATAAATTACATTAATATTTGGGGCTATTATTAAACCAATTAAGTTGACGGTAACAATGGAGTGCGACTGAAAGGATTTAACTTGATCAGCTACACCCCAAACAACTCAGCTGTATTCAACCATACGGATAAAACAAACAGCACCAGTGAACTTATTTACAATGTAACGACACCGGGAAAGAAGGGGGTGTCGGTGTCGTCTATTGAAATAATAGCTAAAAACAAAGACAACTATTTAACACTGTGTGAAGTGGAAGTTTACGGCGGTAGGAAATACTTTTTCATTTTCAATACAGACTTATAGTCCTACACACAATATGTATATTTAATAATTTAACCAATTATGTGTTTTTCAACATAACTGATTTTGTTAGACTGTGTATTAAAGTAATGACATTAAAATCAAAGTGGGAAACTATGTAACAGACGGGGGATTTAAAGGGTATATAGTGCTTTACTCGGGGAAATGATCTCCACTAGAGGACGAGTATGCTAAATTATATTGGCTACAGTTTCCGCTGATGTTTCTTACCTTCCTACAAGATAAGGCCAGTTTGAATGTATGTTTGCATGATTCAAACAGATCAAGAATGTTCAGGCAACACATACGGGCTAGACTGTAGCAGTACGTGCAATTGTACTAACTGGAAACAGTGTTTTGTTTCAACTGGTCAGTGTCACGGCGGCTGTGTTGCTGGTTTCTATGGTGATGAATGCAGCCAATGTAAGCTATTGATCAATGTAACGTTACTCGCAATGATTATAATAAATACGTATTCCAGATTCTACATATTAGTCCAGCCGATAACAAAACAAACATGTTTAATTCGAGATTTTTTTTTCCTGTCAACTAAGCATGTTCGGCTGGATCCTATGGAGAAAACTGCTCAAAGAATTGCAGTACAAATTGCACCAACCAGATGTGTGATCGGTTTAATGGTTCATGTCTTCAATGTATACCTGGTAGAGTTGGTCCTTTCTGTGAACTGTGTATGTCGAAATATTCCTTTTATTTTTCTGTTTATTGGTTTGCGTTTATAATAGATGACAGCTTTCGAATTCTTTCTAATATTCAAAATGTATTACTGATAGCTTTGAAATCATTCATTGTTATAATTCAGAATGTTAAGATTTTTAAAGTAGCTATATATATATATATATATATATATATATATATATATATATATATATATATATATATATATATATATATATATATATATATACTTCCATATTAAGTAGAAATGTTGAATTATTAAAATTACAGCCTGCAATACTACGTTCTACGGTCAGAACTGTACACAGAAATGTAGTACAAATTGTACAGACTCGAAGTGTGACAACACCGATGGAAAATGCCATGAATGTATTCCTGGAACCAGCGGAGACTTTTGTCACTTAGGCAGGTTAATTTCATTCATTTGTAGTTAAAGCATGCAGCATACATAAAAATTATCAAGAAAATAATGCACACGTATGGGAGGAATTAGAAACGCATCATATTAAAGTTAAATTTAGACTTTATTTAATTGTATGATGTTACAGATGACTTAATTTGATTATATATGAATGAATCTAATTACAGCTTGCGACGAACATCATTATGGCACTGGGTGTATCTACAATTGCTCATCAATGTGTGAGAATTCAACGTGTGATAAAACAAATGGTATCTGCCGCACCTGCATGTCAGGATATCAAAATGATTATTGTAACTCAAGTAAGCCTAGTCAATATAATTAATAAACAGTGTTGATTGCATAATATAGTTCCGCTTAGTATCAACCACACAGCCAAAATTAAGTTCTATAATCTGGACCACAAAACAAAATTAGTTAGACTTTGAAGAGATTAGAAATCAGCCAATTAAACGTAAAATTAAATGTACTTTATTTAATTGTATGTTTATTACAAACGAGCTGACCCGCGATTAAGCATACGCCGCTATCTAGTTGTTTTATTTTCTGCTTATCAGAAATTCATAATTTGTGAATTCAACACTACCCCCTCCTGCCCTGCGGCCCTCCCCCCCCCCCCACCCCCTCGCCCAGTGAAAGCAGCCGTTTACAGACAATGAAAAGATCAACCAGAAATTGTTACCTCCCCTTCGTTTCAAATCGTTTTATACTAAAGTATCTGCCCCTAACAGCCGTCACTAACCCGGCTCTACAATTGTAAACGTTCGTCCTAAACCAAAACTCTCCTGATTGGTGGGGGTGGGGGTGGTAGCGATTTGCCTGGAGAGTGGGGTAGTAACGGAGTGCGTCTACGTCTTGTCCTGAATGGTCCCCATGAAGAGAATTATATATAGAGATGACTTAATCTAATCAAATATGACTGGATCTAATTACAGCTTGCGACGACCATCATTATGGCCCTGGGTGTATCTACAATTGCTCATCAATGTGTGAGAATTCAACGTGTGATAAAACAAATGGAGTCTGTGGTACCTGCATATCAGGATATCAAGATGATTATTGTAACTCAAGTAAGCCTTAGCTAGTTGCATTGGTATCTAACACATCTAGTCAATTATATTGATACAAATGTTGATTGTATAATATAGTTCCGCTTAGTATCAACAAAACAGCCAGAGCTAAGTTCTATAATCTGGACCACGTAACACAATTATGTAAAGTTTGATATTGATATATTGATGTTAATATATATATATATATATATATATATATATATATATATATATATATATATATATATATATATATATATATATATATATATAATTACACATTAAGTAGAGAGGTTGAATTATTCAAATTACAGCCTGTAATGCCTCGTTCTACGGTCAGAACTGTACACAGAAATGTAGTACAAATTGTACAGACTCGAAGTGTAACAACACCGATGGAAAATGCCATGATTGTATTCCTGGAACAAGCGGAGACTTTTGTCGCTTAGGCAGGTTAATTTCATTCATTTGTAGTTAAAGCAAGCGGCCTACATACCAGTTATAAGTTATAATTATTATAATTCTAATACCAGTTATAAAGCACACTTATGGGAGGTATTACAAACGCATCATAAAAATGTTAAATATACAATTTCTTTAATTGTATGTTTGATGTTTACAGATGACTTAAACTAATCAAATATGAATGGATCTAATTACAGCTTGCGACGAACATCATTATGGCCCTGGGTGTATCTACAATTGCTCATCAATGTGTGAGAATTCAACGTGTGATAAAACAAATGGTGTCTCTGGTACCTGCATATCAGGATATCAAGATGATTATTGTAACTCAAGTAAGCCATAGCTAGTCGGCATTGGTATCTACACATCGAGTCAATAATAACAAGAAACAATTTTGATTGCATCATATAGTTCCGCTTAGTATCAACAAAACAGCCAGAGCGTAGTTCTATAATCTGGATCACGTAACACAATTCTTTAGAGTTTAAAGATATTAGAAATCAGCTAAATATTTATTTATTTATCAAAAAGCATGCGACGAGCATCATTACGGACCTGGTTGTAGAAACAATTGCTCTGCGGACTGCCTGAGTTCTAGATGTAATCACACCAGTGGTCATTGCTTAACGTGTATTCCTGGGAGAGTTGGTCCATTCTGTGAACAGGGTATGTCCAGTAATTCCGTTTATTTTGTCTTTATTAATATTTATATATAATAGACGACATTTACTCATAACACTAAATTTTTAAATTGTTTCTAAAATAAAAAATGTATATCTAAATAGCTTTCAAATCATTTTCTGTTATCATTCAGAATGTTAAAATTGTTAAAGTAAGCTGTACATATCTCTCTCTATCTCTCTCTCTCTTTCTCTCTCTCTCTCTCTCTCTCTCTCTCTCTCTCTCTCTCTCTCTCTCTCTATATATATATATATATATATATATATATATATATATATATATAATTACACATTAAGTAGAGAGGTTGGATTATTCAAATTACAGCCTGTAATACCTCGTTCTACGGTCAGAACTGTACACAGAAATGTAGTACAAATTGTACAGACTCAAAGTGTAACAACACTGATGGAAAATGCCATGAATGTATTCCTGGAACAAGCGGAGACTTTTGTCATTTAGGCAGGTTAATTTCATTCATTTGTAGTTAAAGCAAGCGGCCTACATACCAGTTATAAGTTATAATTATTATAATTCTAATACCAGTTATAATGCACATGTATGGGAGGAATTACAAACGCATCATATTAAAGTTAAGTATACACTTTCTTCAATTGTATGCAGCTTACAGATGACTTAAACTAATCAAATATGAATGGATCTAATTACAGCTTGCGACGAGCATCATTATGGCCCTGGGTGTATCTACACATGCTCATCAATGTGTGAGAATTCAACGTGTGATAAAACAAATGGTGTCTGTGGTACCTGCATATCAGGATATCAAGATGATTATTGTAACTCAAGTAAGCCATAGCTAGTCGGCATTGGTATCTACACATCTAGTCAATAATATAAAAAAAAAAGTGTTGATTGTATAATACAGTTTCGCTTAGTATCAAAGCTAAGTTCTATAAGCTGGTCCACACAACACAATTATGTGGACTTCAAAGACATTAGAAATTAGCAAAATATTTATTTATTTATGAAAAAGCATGCGATGAGCACCATTACGGACCTGGTTGTAGAAACAAGTGCTCTCCAAACTGCCTGAGTTCTAGATGTAATCACACCAGTGGTCATTGCTTAACGTGTATCACACAATATCGCGGACAATTTTGTGAAACAGGTTGGTATTTAAAAAAAAAAATACAAAATCAATGATTGGTCTAAAATACATATTTATACATATAATTTAAGTAACTTTATTTTCAGCCATTGAAGGGGATACATCAAACACAACTGGTATAGCAGTCTCTATTGCTGTAATACTGTTTTTATGTTTGGTAGTTGCCGTCATATTACTTTTGTTCAGGTATATTTCTCAAACCTCAGTATTACATAATGTATTATTTTAATGCCCATTTAATGTTATTTTAATGCCTGTGTCTATTTTTTAAATGTCGGTTACAATAAACCCTACTTGTATTTCTTATGTATACATTTGTAATAATTTTGTTATATGAAAGTCCATTCATGTTTGTGTTTTGCTTTTCAAAAGGCGTCGTTACCGGAATAGAGGTAAATCAGCCTATCAAAGAAATGGCAGTGAGCGTGACTGTATTCATACTGACTATCCTACACAGTCAAGTAATATGATGCTTTGTTTCTCAACGGTTATATTTAGATAAGTTGCGCAAAAATGTTTTGTTTAGTTATAAAGTGCAGCTACATACCTTTAAATTAAGTATGAGTATAATGGGAGTGCAGTATTTCATTTCATAAAATTTTAGTGTAGTGAATAATATTAACATGGGGAGTCAAATAGAGTAATATTTTATTTCAGAAATATTAGAAACCTTAATGAAAAATATCTATAAAAACGTCTAATTAATGAAAAGAATTAATATTTCCATGCAGCTACAGATTTAATATATATTTCATGCTTCAGATTATTTCAGATGCACGCGTTTCTATCTTAGCTTAAATCTTTGTAAAAACAGAATGTAAACATCCTCACAATGAAACGCACATTTAGTCAAACAGAAAAATGTTGACGAGAGACGTATCGCGTACTTTCAAAACGGTATCGTTTTTTTTCTTATTTACGTTCAGGCCAAGCCATGCCGATGAAGCCAGTAGCTGTCATCAACGCTTACAATTACGATAGCGCGGAGATCGAGAACAAGTTTGTCCAAATCTCAGAACTAAAGAACTTCCTTCAAACACACAAAAGCGAGTTTTTCATTAACGAATTTAAGGTAAGCTTAAATTTATTAAAATACGCACACGCAAGTTTTTCATTAAAGAATTTAGTACAAAACTTGACTAAAGAATTCATGCAAATACACTTAAGCAAGTTTTTCAATAAAGAATTTAGGGTAAGCTTGATGAAAGATATTTTCCAATGTTAAAAATAACATGCTGTTAGAGCATGATTAATACAACTGTATGCACATCACGACAATTTTCTGTTGTATTAACATTTGCTAACCAATGAATGTGAATGTATTATGTTTCTGTCTGTTGGAACGTGTTACCATGCCACACTTTACTACTTACGTTTCAGTCGATTCCAGCTCCTCAAAATGTTTCGATGTCCATTGGACAGAGCAATGAACATAAGAGCAAGAACAGATACAAGAATATATGCGCATGTAAATATACATATTAAATTAAATTAATCTATCTAAAAGAAATATCATGCCCTATTAAAATGTAAAAGCAAAGTTCCCTTTTCAAGGGCAAGTGAAGTAGAGTTCACTTGTTTCTGTGCTCTCGGCATATGAAGAGATAGTGTGGTCAGCACTATGCCCAGACGCCTTTACTTTCCCTAACTTGAGTTAGGTACCTATCAGAGTTGGGTGAACTCAGAGACGGATACTGCCTTGAACCCGGATTCGAACTCGAGACTTACGGGTTAGCAGTCCAGCTACCTACCGCTAGAGCCCTCCGTCCCGTCTATTAAAATGAGTTAACTATTTTCAGACGACCATTCCCGTGTGCATCTTGAAATCAATATCAACAATAACGAAAGAGACTACATTAATGCTTCCTACATTGAGGTATTGTCTTTAGGGTTCCCTTTGTGTTACATTGTTATTTTTTTGTTAGTGTAAATGCATATAATAAACAATACATTCAGATATTTAGTTTTTTCTTAGTAAATTAGACGTAGTAGTAAATTAATTCTTAAATCGAACGTTGAGCAAGCAATGTTAATTATCTACAGGGTTACAACAGTGCAGAGAAATGTATCGCATCGCAAGGTAAGAATTCATTTAATCTGTGTTAGAACAGCAATCAATACATCCAAATATGTGATCTTGATTAACTTTTGGAAGTCAATTACACCATTAAGCTTTTCTTATGAATTAGAGTATACCTAGATCTGAAGCATTTGTCAATCTCGATTCAATTAAAACAGGTCCAACTGATGTGAGCATCAATGATTTTATACGAATGTTGTGGGAACAAAAAGTTGTTAAAGTTGTCATGTTGACTGAACTTGTAGAAGAGGGCAAGGTTGGTCTAAACTTTTACAAAGACAGATAGCATGCACACTAAACGTTTTTAGAGTATCATATATTTAGATATAGGCCTACATTATCCAGCATATAAAAAAAAATATACTCAGGAGCAGTATAACGCAACTTTTTATTCAAATAAAATTACTGTACAGGTAAAGTGTGTAAGGTACTGGCCAGAAGAAGGTACAACCACATTTGGTGATATCAAAGTTAAGCTGGCAGCTACTCATGTTTTTGCTGACTACACTATCAGGAAGTTGGAGCTTATCAAGGTATGTGAGCAATAATTTCTCACGAATAGTTTTGCTGTCTGTATTTGAGCAATAATTTCTCACTAATAGTTTTGCGGTCTGTAACTTAAAAAGAATAACAATAACAAAGCTTCCTTAGAAGTGCAGGTGTATGGTTGAGGAAAAATATTTTCAATTAAAGGCTTTTATTAACAGTAACTGATCCGTATCCAAGGTGCCTATCATACAAGTGTAGGAACCCATCGTTTGGGGTATGAAATTGATGAACTTCGAGATGCATGAAAGAAACACTGTGTATACCACTAAGCAACTTATTATATGTGATGTACAGTCTCCCAAAAACAAACAATTAAAATTACGTTAACAAATGGGCATATAATTTGAAATATGTGTCTCTATGTTCTGTATATTGATTTTTGCGACACTGATTGTCATTGAACAAATGAGATACTAGCCACGTCAGAGAAATGATGACAAATGGAATTGTAATACACTGTAGCTAAGCAGGTTTTCATTTAACTATCAACAGAAGAATCAACCGACCCACCATTTCACCCAGTTCCACTTCACATCGTGGCCAGACAAAGGTGTGCCTCTAACACCGTGGGGACTTGTGGACTTTGAACAGAGGGTGGCGTTAGGGAGTACATCAAGGCCTATTGTTGTCCACTGCAGGTTAAATCTTTTTTTTAAAAATTAAACTGACTCGAAAATTTCTCAAGAAGTTCACATCAAAATGAAAATAAAAAATACGTTAACATAAAGCAATAAGAAAAAAAACATCAACCTTTTAAAAGGAAAAAAAAAAACTACTAGTTTTTGTTTTTTTAAATTACTCATTTACAATTACATAATATTGGATTTAAATACAGCGCTGGTGTAGGACGTACTGGAACCTTCATCGCTCTACGTAATGTGATGAGAGAAGCTGAAGACACGGGGAAGATAAATTGTTTTAAAACAGTGGCCAAACTTAGACAAGACAGGGTTCTGATGGTTCAAACTGCGGTAATAAAAGAAAAACAAAACACATTAATAATATAAGTCTAAAAATGGGATTGCGTCACATTTCATAGCTTAGTTAAAGGCAATGAGTCTTTGTTTTTATGGTTTTACCTTTCTCCACCAGAAACAATATGAATTCCTCTACAAGGCAGCGCATGTCGCCATGGTTTGCTTGGGTACAACAGTGAAGTCCAGTGCCATCACAAACAGAATCAGTTTCCTTGGGGATCAATCCCGCGATGGAATATCCAACATGGAAAAGGAATTTATGGTATTCGCTTAAAAATATGGAGCTAAAAAAACATGAACCTAATCTTTATATTTTAATTTAACATATTAAAATGTATTTAAAATGCGAAATTCAAAATATTGAACTATTTCCTGATTGTGTATAAATGAAATACCTTTGTCTATAAAAATCTCAGGCAGTCTCAGAGGCGTGCGATGATTCAACACATAATAATTACACTGAGAACGACGATGATCAAAAAGGTATTTATCAAAACACCGTTTCAACTGCGTTGAGGAAGAACAGGTTCTCCTTTATTCTGCCAAGTAAGAACTTCTATCTATTGACATTATTTGATAATCACAAGCAGGTTCTTTGAAATTTCTTTCAATTTAAACTAAAACGGTGCTGGTGTGCTTGTAATTAAAAGATAATGAAATTAGGGCGGGTTAAGCTACTTTTGAATAATACAAGTAAACGAAATAGGGCTCTGATAACATTACTCGTAATAGTCCTAAAGTTATGTTGATTAGTAAGATATCTAGCGTTTTTCTTTGTACTTAATTATTCGTCATAATTTATTAAAATATGTGTATGAAATTTAAACGCTCGCTATAATAAATTATCACTCACAACAAAGAGGTGTTTATCACAGGTAAACAATATCGCGCTGTATTATCTATGGAATCAAACAATCTTAGTGATTACATCAATGCTGTATTAGTTTCGGTATGTACTAAACCAAATATATATATATATATATATATATATATATATATATATATATATATATATATATATATATATACAGAGAGAAAGAGAGAGAGAGTGAGAGAGAAGGGTTTCTCAAAAGAGCGTTTAAGTGTTTAAGCTTATCCCATGAAATTCTTTACCTCTTTAGAGTTTCACCAAACGCGAGAACCAGATACTAACCCAACTCCCCATGCCGAGCACAGTAACAGATTTCTGGAGATTGGTGGCACAATATAATGTCTCACTTATTCTGGCTTTTAACAAGGGATCAAATAAAAATGATGAGGTAAGATAGTGGACAGAAGATGGTACATAAAGTGTATGTATGTTTTTCACTTATGTTAATGAATGTGTACAATAACTGGTGTAATTCAACTTTGTGTTACCACAGACCCTCCCCCAGTACCTGCCTGCCAACATGACAACACCTTTAGACTGTGGACCATATGAAATACACACAGGACCTGTCAAGTCTGAGAGTTTATGGGAGGAGCAACAAATCACTGTCAAAGTTGTCAAGAAAGCGATGGTTTTCCTACCTGAGGGAGTAAGTAATATGCATCAAATGTATCCTTTAGGCTAACACAAAAGATTTGGGGGTAGCGCTGACCACACTTACTCTTTATATGGCGAGGTCACATAAACTATTGGACGCATCGATATCATCTCAATACTATATTACAGGTGACGGAAGAAACCCACGTGACCCACATCGCGAGTAAAAGCACAGACCTGAATCCCAAGAATCTTCTCAAACTTCTCAAACACACAAGGTCAAACAATGTACAGGCACAGGGGAGAGTACTCTACATGTGCAGGTATTTTTCTTTTTTCTAACAATGCGAAAACAATTGTATTTGTTTACCATTAATGCATTATTTGATTTCAAAAAGTAAAATGAATATAAATTCAAAACTCTTGGTTCTAAGACCAGCCCATGAATTCGTTGTTTTTTTCATTTCATAATACCAATTCTTTCCAGAAACGGAGCTGACTACAGCGGCCTGGCCTGTGTGTTGAGTCTTCTACTTGACCGAATGGACCATGACCAAAGCTTAACAGTTCCACTTGTTGTTGGTGCCATCAAATGTATCAGACCTCAGGTCATCCCATCTCTGGTAAACACAATGCTTTAAAACATACTTTTCATTTAATTATTTTATAATTGCATTATTTGTTATGAACAGATATCTAATATAGTCTCCTAATTAACAGGATCAGTACAGGTGTCTGTATGAAGTTCTACAAAGGTACATTGAGATCAGTACACCCCACGGTGATTATAAGAGAATGTCTCTACCATCACAGCAAAACTCACCATTGGCCACATTACCAGAGGAAGAAGAACACATTTACGTCAATAGCTAGATCTCCACACTGTAAAGGATTCCACCCTTTAATGGAATGTATTGGGATTTAATACCTTAATTTTATCTGAGCTTTATCGGTCCAGTTCAGTTAATTAGGATGAGATTTATAATCCTAATGACTACAATTCTATGCAAATAATCCATGGTACTAAATTCCTCAAGATTACTTAAACATTCATGTATATGTACTATATTCTTAATTTATCTTTTGGTTTGTTGAATATATACTCTCTTTTAATCAGTAAACTATTTTACTTTTTTTTTAGCATGCATGAAATACGTTTTTTATTTCTGTAAATCAAAACAGTAAGAGTAGGAGTTGCGATAGCTGTTGATTATTTTATATGTGAGATAAGCAGCGTATTATGATCTTAAATCTTATATTTTTATATAACATGGAGCACTCTCTACACTCGACACTAATATGAGAACCATACACATGTATTTATAACTCAAACTACGTGAAAAATAAATACAGCAGAGGTTTGCTGCGCTTCACACGTGTGTGTGTGTGTGTGTGTGTGTGTGTGTGTGTGTGTGTGTGTGTGTGTGAGTGGGGGTAGGGGAGCAGAGGGTATGAATTTGGTTTTCTTTTTGCATAACATCAGTCAATTGCACATTTTCTCCACATTTCTCTCTGTATACAGCAATTTATTTTTTAACATGGGTATAATGTAAAATACTACTACATAAATATAAATCTTCTAAACAGATTAAACAATGTTTTAAAACTAATCATCGGTTGACGTCGTATTGTGACAAAAAATTTCAATCACTGTTTTGTTAATTTTACTTGTTATTTATCAGGTGAAATCGAATATACCAAATATGTCAAGACATATAATGGTATCATTATTTATTCACCTGTAAATAAATTATGCTCTACTTGAAAGCCACTTAGTTGAATATGAGAATCGAGATAAAATATTATGAGAAAAAGTGTACTTATAAAAGAGCAAACGCTTATTGGGAAAAAAAGCAAGAAAAATAATTACTGGAAAAAATTAATAAGGTTGTAGAGAAAATAACTTTAAATTGTACCTCAAAATAACTAAACTGTATTTGTAACAACTAAGGGACATAATCATGTTAAATCATGCACTGTTACGCATAGTTTAGAAATGTCGTGTGTTGCATTTTTTATAATGATTACATCCCTTATTTGAACTCAAATGTTACGTCATTTTCCGATGTTTCTATCATCTTTTTAACTTCTAAAATATCGACATCATATGTTGGGGTTGATTTCTTTCTACTTAGCTGATGTACTAACAATTAAGTGTTCATTTCACACGTATATGTCATTAAGACATGTTTACTAACTTAACCAACGTAGTATGTACTATTGACGTTTGTTATGTACAGATGACTTAATTCTATTAAAATATGTAGTCACCACTTGTTACTTGATTTTATGTGTATTGTCATTGTTTTGCTGTCGTTTATTGACAGCTAGAATACAAGTTACGATACAGAAAGGCAAGTAAGTAAACTACACACTGGCACAAAAACAAATAATAAACTTAGACACTGAAGAGTAGAGTTTCTTACTAAACTACTTTCAACACAGTGTTGTGTATAACCTACCTATTTTATACTCTCTCTGTACATACCTCTTTTAATGTATACTTTGTTTCAAGTTAACGTAACGCATACGATGTTTTCTAAAAACATTTTTGATTATGCACATTGAAAAACAATTTTCGACATCCCATGTGTAGATGAAGCAAGAATATTTTTTTTTAAACTTCCTTTACACTTCTACACTGCAACTGTTTTCTGGTTTATTCTACCCAGTCTGCCTACACACTTTATACTAATGAGTGTTTGACTTGTGGGCTGTCAGACTTGAAAGCAAACTGTGTAGTTTAATATTCAACAGTAGGAACACTGGTGTTGAAATTCTCTTACATGAAGGTAGATCTAAATGGTGGATAAAAAATATATTATTGAAATGTGTGCACTTAAAACGTGTATAAACATCGATAGAAATGTAATACTTGTCACGTGATACCTTAATGGTTTAAAATTGTGCAACACCAACCAGGAAGTGAATAATTATTGAATTCTGGAGTCAGTGAAATTTGAAGTTGTTCCCGTGTAAAGGTAATTTATTTAATTTGAGATCTTCTTAATTTTTTTAGAAATATTTTATTAGTAAAAATTCGGATTTTAATGAATATTACTCTAAAGTTGACACGCTATCCGCTTTTATTATAATGTAAATTATTTAGCGCATTCTTGTTTAATTTTACTTCTAGCAATACATTTAAAATGTTGCAGTGTGTGTGTATATTAACTTGTATACATCCAAACATTTATACATTTAATGCAAATTCTACAACAAATGCGTTAAACCCTCTCACCTTCAGCCATCATGGTCTTAAAAATATTTTTCTGCCTTGTGGCATACAGCTTTGTAAATATTTCAAAATCAGGTAAGTTACTTTTTAAACTGTTTACGGTTACGTTAGTTAGTTTTTAAACCATTTTAATTTTAGATAGGTTAATTTTTAGTCGGATTCTCCCAAGTTTTAGCCTAAGAATTAAATTTATCCAATGATTTGTATTAGTGAAAATCTGATTATAACAGTTGTGAGCACTTTTCGTGATAGGGGAGAAAATTATTTGAAATATATTCTAACATATTTTTAGTCATTTATAGGAAATTTCGTTTAATTTTTTTTTTTAAATGTGATTTTAGAAAACGCGTTTGGTTCCATCTGCCTGTATGACTGCCAATGTGTAAACACAACTTCCATATGCCTGTATGACTGCCAATGTGTAAACACAACTTCCATCTCTCTGTATGACTGCCAATGTGTAAACACAACTTATAATGAGACAGGCAATTATCAGGGGGAGGCATCCAGTAATGTTGGAGAATTTGGAGCGCAATGTCAATACAGTAGGTCAACACACGGCTGAGCCCGCTTGTAGATGTGTTATCAAATGTCTATTTTATCCGAGTTTAATATTGTATCAGAAGCGTTGGCCTTATACTATATATAACGTCCCTTTCTTTCTATTTAAGTAAGTGATCATGACAACTCTAGCATGACCTGCTCATTGAATAGCACCAATTCATCATGTGAGACAGTGACCTGTAAATGCCTCTCGTGCAATAACAGTTATCAAGGAGATTTGTGTGACGTCAGTGAGTAGTTTCACTAGTACTAACATTAGGACTTGCTGTTAGGTCAAAAGATTCCAATGTCACACATTCTATTGTTCTTAGAGTCCTAGAGTGTAGTGAGACTTTACCTCTCTATTACTAACTGCATGACCTTCTGCTAAGCTCAATGATTAAACATTTAAATTCATTGTTCTAGCGTGTAATGAGACTTACTACGGACAGAATTGTGGCGAGATGTGGAACATCACTTGCTTAAATCAAGTTTGTGATAATGTTAATGGAAAATGCTTCAACTGTTCTGCTGGATACTTTGGAGAGTTCTGCCAATCGTGTGAGTAAAAACTTATTTTATTTGTTATTTAAAAATCAAAGTTACGAGTTTAAGTTATTTTATTGAAATTTAAATGTGCTTTCCTATTATTATTTCTGGTGACAGCCTGTGATGAATTTCATTACGGATCCGGATGTAAGATGAACTGTTCATCAAATTGCACGGATTCTAAATGTAACGCAACCACTGGACATTGCTTACAGTGTAATCCGGGCTACCAGGGGGAGTTCTGCGATAAAGGTAGCTAATTATTTCTCGATTCATTATGTCGTTAGATGTGTTTTTTTCTTCAAATGTTGACTTTAAAAAAAGAAATTATTAGCGAATATACGGAATGGGGAGGGGAGGGAAGCCAACTTTAGTTAGTGCTCCCTACCTTACACTAGCTGCTGAGATCTTGTCTAGACTTAACACCTATCGAAATATGCAGCAGGTAAATTATGTAACTCAGTTGTGTCGCTGAGTCAATACCTTGGTTAAATTTGAACAAACACTAGGACAACACCGTTAAGTAAATAAAAAACGTTTATACACCGCCTTCATTTAGAGAGTCGCTGACAGGGTGTCTGAATTAATCTGAATAAAATTATATATGCGTGATGATTGAGTTGTCTGTGGACTATACTAGAGTTTATAGATTACTTTTAGTGTTGTTTCAGATCTTCGTTATTTATCGGGTGTAATTAATAAATATGTAGTATGCAGTCTAACTTTCACGGGTAGTTAATTTAAGTCTTTCTTCCTGTCTGTTGTAAATACAATAATATTGTATTAAGGCAAGCTTGTTGATCAGTGCACAGTTGCTATTAAATCTCTTCAAGTGTATTGTTTATATGTTTGTTGAGTGATGGTACTGAAAGTAAGTTTGTCAGTCCAAAAATTACTTTGTTAAAACTTGTGTATAAACACATTTTGACAAGATGTTTGGTTACTGTATATGTGGTTATCGTGACAATGTGAATTGTAACTGTAAAAATGACATTTCAGCCAATATGGACCAAAGTGTTCACGAGAGCTAAGAGTATTAAGGCCCGACATGTTGTTATGAGCTTGGTTTTGATTGTACAATATACTAGGCTGTTGATTATACTAAAATATATTACATACCGCTTCATGTTCCACTTAATACCCTTTAAAGTTTAGAGAAAATTTGTTTATCCTCGAAAGTTGTTTTATCGTTAACAAAGTGTACAAACTTCACTTACGGAAAAGACTGCTGTGAAAACTGTTCGATGCATTTTGCTGGGAATGTCACGTGTGACAGCTACAATGGGAAAGTTGTTTTATCGTTAACAGAGTGTACAAACTTCACTTACGGAAAAGACTGCTGTGAAAACTGTTCGATGCATTTTGCTGGGAATGTCACGTGTGACAGCTACAATGGGAAAGTTGTTTTATCGTTAACAGAGTGTACAAACTTCACTTACGGAAAAGACTGCTGTGAAAACTGTTCGATGCATTTTGCTGGGAATGTCACGTGTGACAGCTACAATGGGACTTGTCTAGAAGGTTGTAAGCTGGGATATACAGGGAATCTGTGTAACACGTGTAAGATAGAGCTTTGGTCTTATAATATATATATATATATATATATATATATATATATATATATATATATATATATATAAATGTTTTATGTATGTATGTATAAATGTATCGGACCTATTTTTTTCTTAATGCTCGGATATTTTTCAGCATGTGATGTAGGCTATAACGGTAGCAACTGTGAGTTTAATTGTAGTAGTTGGTGTGTTAAAAACACCACAAAGATCTGGTGTAACACGACTGACGGTCTCAGACTTATCGTCTGTAGGGACGGATTTAACTCAACAGCTTTAAATTGTTGGTCATTTTTTAATACAAGTGAGTGTTTTAATTATTAGTTTGTACGTTATAAGTTTTCTTAATATTATACATGCGCTGGTTGTGAAATATTGTACTGGGCGTTAAAGAAATACTAAATCAAACACAATTGTACAGTGATAATTTGTCTGTAAACATAGATACTTCAGGACCAATCTCGCCCACAAGTGACGACAATCTAGCTGTCATTATTGCCCCTGTGGCCGTCATTGTTGTTGTTGCCCTTGCTTTATTTGTTGGAATTTTCATTTGGAGGTAGGTCTATATTGTATGCATGTATCGCAAAGTATTTTCCGCCGTATACCCGTTTTAATATACTGCTAAGAAGTGAATGAACCTTAAATGCCATTTTAAATTTAAAAAATAATACCGTCCATTCATAATTTTATAATTACTTATGAGAATATATTATAATTATTAGTTTTATAGATTACTTCATGACTTAACATAAATAGCCAATATTTTATTTAACTGATCATATTGTATGCTTTATACACATGGCATATAAGTTGACCATTTTTAACATACAAATGTATTCTAAAATACATATTCATATTCAATAATTAAAAAAAATAAGTTGATATTTAGGTAATTGTAACTAAAAGTCAGTAAGTTGTGTTTAAAGACTATTGCTACATAACTAACTATTGTTACAGACAAAGACGTTTGAAGAAGAGGAAAACAACTGAGCTACCTTTTGAAATACGTTATACACCAACTCAAGAGACTCCTAATAGATGTAACACACTCTACTTTATCTAATGATTTTAGTATACAGAAATGTACTTATACTGTTTAGAAAATGTGCTATAGTGTGTGACGTAATACTCTGTGATCTTCAGCCACCCACAAGCCAGTAGCAGTGATTGCAGCCTACTGTAACGACACCCCTGACTCAGACGACAGGTTCATCCAAGTACCAAAACTCAACGACTACATGCAAACACACAATCGGGAATTCTTCATTGAGGAATTCAAAGTCAGATTTGTTACTCTTTTTCAGAGTTTTTGTTAATGTTTTAAAATAGACGATTCATAAACTCATATTAAAAGTTTCAAATATTGTTATTATTTGTATAATAAGCACACTATAAAAAATGTGTTGCAAAAAAATATTTCCAAAAGAAAAATTAAATACACTATTTTAGAGCAGATGTATTGTAACAACTCGTAAAATCTACGTATGTTTAGATAAATATAAATTTTAATTTTATATTTCACTATAATAAGCTCATAAAAACTAATTAAACTAATTCCAGAAAATTCCACCACCACAGAATGTGACAATGCTTGATGGTCAAAGTGAAGAAAATAAACATAAAAACAGATACAAGAATATTTGTGCATGTATGACGTTTGTGAAAACATGTTAATTAATTACATAGGATTGATTAGATAAAATTCACGTTTTCTATGATGTATGTACTCTACCTTCAGACGACCACTCACGCGTCCATCTTGAAATCAACACAAGAAAAAACGAAGGCGACTACATCAATGCTTCCTACATCGAAGTAATTTAACTTTTGTTACTTTATTGAATCTTAGGCGTATGTAAGATAAATCTTATATCTATCTACACATACTGTTGGCATTGTTTATAAGATATTGGATTTCTAGCTACGTAAAGATGTTACTGTCATTTTAATTTCTTGGTTTCAGGGCTACAACAACGAGGAGAAATTCATAGCCTCACAAGGTAGGTATTTAATAAACATTGTAATAAGCCTCTCAAGGTAAGTCATTTTACAAGGAGTAGGCTATATAGCCTAACAAGTTTAATAGTTTTACAAGCATTGTAAGCCTCGCTAGGTAAAATCTTTTACTAGCATGGGTTATCGTCAAAATACCATATAGTCTTCAAAAGGTAAGTACGTTTAAAAGCAGTATCTCGCCGACTTTGTAAGTACTTTTTACAAGTAAATAAAGTCTACCAGGGTTATTAATTTTCCAATTATTGTATAGACTTACAAAGTATCTGATTTTACATGAAGTGGAAAGCCTCACCGGGGTTAGAACTTTTACATGCATGGTTTTAGTCTCATAATATGCTTGTCGTAAAGCAACTTAGTTCTCTATGTTCAGATATTTTACTTTGACATCTTTATTTCATAAATCACCGAGTGCCCTTTATAAGAAATCATAGTTACTTACATCGTCTAATCTAAAATATTAATTCTAAACATGCTCATTTTAAAACTTTTAAAACGTATTTAATTGTAGAAGGTTGATGTTAAAGCTCTAACAATTACTGTATTGTTTATTATTTTTATTGAAGTAAACACACATAGTCTGAAAGCACAAAATGTCAGACAGTTAAAACTATCGTTGAATTGTTATTCACATATGAATACTAACCTAACAATATTTTAGGACCAAATGATGTGGTCGTGAACGACTTCGTTCGAATGTTGTGGGAACAAAAAGTTGATAAAGTTGTGATGTTGACTAATTTGATTGAAGAAGGAATGGTAAGTAATTTTATTTTTCAATTTTTACCAATAGCCCCATCATATTAAGCGCCTGTTACAGTTCTAATAGAAATACATGAAAGGGTGTTTTCGCTCTTGTATGTAATGGATGAAGAATTATGAACCCTTTAAAATAGTGCATTATAAATGTGGCTGAAAATATCTCGTTCACTAAGGTGAAATCTGTGAAATACTGGTCAGATAAAGGAAAAGCTACATTTGGTGATATAAAAGTTGAGCTTTTATCAATAGACGTATTTGCAGACTACACGATTCGAAAGATGGAACTTAAAAAGGTCAGAGCCAATTAAGATAACTATTATACCTGGCCATAATTATATATATATATATATATATATATATATATATATATATATATATATATATATATATATATATATTTATATATATTACAATGAAATATATTTGTTTATTACAGAAAAACAAACCGACCCACCATTTCAACCAGTTCCACTTCACATCGTGGCCAGACAAAGGTGTGCCTCTAACACCGTGGGGACTTGTGGACTTTGAACAGAGGGTGGCGTTAGGGAGTACATCAAGGCCTATTGTTGTCCACTGCAGGTTTACATGAGTTAATTATTTCTAATAAGCTCATACATTTCAGCTGGCACATTTCTGATTAAAAAACATTGTTTAGAAACAAAATAATTTTAAAACGTAGACCTATCTAAAAACTGGCATATACTACATCGGAACCACTAAGTGGTGTAACGGGCAGTGGCGTAGCGAGGTCGGGTGTCACCCGGTGCGGCACTTAATGGTGTCACCCCCCAGAGGCGTAGCGACCCTTCCCCGGGACAAACTTTCGATTTGCACCACCCCCTTCAAACTTTCGATTTTAACCTTTTAAAAGACTATTTAACACTCGAATTAATCACTTCATTAAGTGGAATTATCATTTTTCTCTATATATTTTACTATTTTTTGCCTTGGTGTCACCCCCCCCTAAATGGTGTCACCCGGTGCGGTCCCTCCCCCCTCGCTACGCCTCTGGTGTGACGTTTTAACCCATATTATCCCAAGGTCTCAAATTTTTATAATTTTTTTACATGGTTTAGCTTTTGGGCACTGAATAAAGGAATGACTATAGCTTTTTTTTTTTTTAATCAATACTTTTTGAAATATCGATATTTAAAAAAACGTCCCATAAATGGGACGCTAGCAACGAACGGCCCCATGTACATTTATTGGGAAAAAAATCATTATCACGAAATATGGCTAATCTCGCGAAAATTAAGCTCTATACTGATTTTGTATTGTAAGGCCAATGATTTCATTGTTTAGGACAGCTAAAAATACTGATAATGTTCAATTGGGTTAGCCATACCATGGTCTAAAATGCAGAAATTATGTTCACATGTCTAGTTTTCTTTCAATCTAGCATCCATCAAAGTTAATAACACTTGGAAATAAGTAAAGCTGTGACTGGTACATCTAATTATACACACATGATCACAAATATTGTTATTATTCATCAAAAATGTAATATAATTAAATATAAATAATTGATTTAGTGTGGGGGGGGCGTACTTGAAACTTTCAGGGGGAGGGGCTTAAATTTCCTGGGGAAGGTGGACACTGATAAAAGTATGTTTTCTATATAAATTCCATTTTGTTCTGTGGGCAGAGCCCCCCCCCCCCCCCCCCGTCCTGCCTGGGAGAAACTCTGCCCTCAGTGAATTTGCAAAAGACGATCCGGTCCAGTCCCAGATGTCATCCAGCCATCTATTCTTTTGTTACCCTCGCTATTTCCCCCCCCCCCCCGTCCTCCCCCCCCCCCCTTCACAGGCGTACATTAGGACATCAGACATCTTATTTCTAGGGCCCGGATCCGTCTCTGTAGTCCTGTATTGAGTGTTCATGGCTCTCATCCGTGTATGCACCTCACTATGCACACTGCTCCCAATCTAGCACCAGCAATCCCCTTACTAAGCTTCGTAAAAGTTATCAAAGTAAAACTGGTATCGGGAACCTTTGGAAGGGAATATTATTGGGGCATGACAACAGTACATAGCTAATTCACATTTCTACTAGATCTATATGTTGCTTGAGTTCTCTTATATGAAGAGTGTTAACCAACCCCCATGACTGAATCGTTTTACCTAAATCGTGACCATTGTCATTATTCTGGTTTGGTATAGTTTTAATATCACACACTAGTAAATTTACAGCAATACTATATCATTTTATATTCAATGGTATTAAATACTTCAGTTAGTGTAATTCTGAAAACTTAAAAATAAAATGTAAGTTTTTCAATATTTTAAATTTTTTTATACAATAATATATAAGTAAATATAGGTCAAGGTCATAATTAAATACCTATAAATACTACTTAACACCCCAAAATCAACAGTTAACAAAGTAAACAATTGTTTCACCATAAACAACCATTTAACATAAACATTTGCATCTGTGTTTCTCGCTAGAGTCCAATAAATGTGACGTTTGTGTAACAATCTACATAAATATAGGTCAAGGTCATAATTAAATATCTATAAATACTACTAACAATCTACATAGGGCCTTTCGTTGCTAGCGTCCCACTTATGTGACGCTTGTTGTACACTTGATATAACGAAGTAGTTAAAAACAATTGTTACTCTTAATTTTTTATCAGATAGAAATATGGTACTGCTACAAATGTTAAATGTATTTTGCACTAAAAATGTTAATATTTTAGAAGATATGCATCTTCCAGTGCGCATGTTTTCTTTTTTCCGCCATTTTGACAAGTCCTGCAAGCCGGCGCTATAACATTTTTCTAAATTAATTTTTTTCACAAAACACGCACAAAGTCAATAGTCTAACCATTTTCAAATACAATGAAACATATTTTGTGTTTTAACTAGTTTTGAATAATTTTTAGCAATTTTTTTTACAAGCGTCCCATAAGTGGGACGCTAGCATAATATGGGTTAAGTAACATTCATATACATCATTGTCTTAGATATAAAAACATAAATTTAATAACGTGCTACAAGTATTAAATGTATTTAATTATTGTTTGTGTAGCGCGGGTGTAGGTCGTACTGGAACCTTCATCGCTCTACGTAATGTGATGAGAGAAGCTGAAGACACGGGGCGGATAAATTGTTTTCAAACTGTGGCCAAACTCAGACAAGACAGGGTTCTGATGGTTCAAACTCAGGTAAATTTAAACATGTATTTTCTATATATTTAACAATTCTAAATGAAGGGGGTATTGATTTAGAGACTCAAGGGTAATTTGCAACATGTAAAACGAAATGGATGTACAAATCTGTTACAATTATTTTTTTTCGTCAATATTTATGGCTAAGGTATTTTGTTTAAATAAAGTGCATCTAACTTTGTTGTTTTTTTGTATTTACCTTAACACTTAAGCAGTCCTATTATTATTTTATTTCGTTATTCAAGAGTTCTACTTGCATGATAATGTATGAACACGTTATTCACGTTATTACATGTCACTACTTTCAGGAGCAGTACGAGTTCCTCCACAGGGCTGCCCAGGTTGCTATAATCTGTATGGGAACCACCGTGACAGCTAACGACATCACTGCCAGGATCAAGTACCTGCAGGAGACCTCAGTCTCAGGAATCAGCAACTTGGAATTAGAGTTCCGGGTGAGATAATTACTACACGATACATGTAGCCTACATTATTTTGTTGAGAACAGTCACAATCTATTACTACATAACTAATATAAAATAATGTGTGATAATTAAGAATAATTTATTATAGGCAATTACAAAAGTCAGCGATGGTTTTTACAAGGAAAAGAATTCAGAAATAGTTTTACAAGTCGAAGATTCAAATGTTTATCAAAATGGCGACTTCAATACTGCTGTTAAAAGAGATAGGCATCCTTCAATACAGCCAAGTTAGATTTGTGTTTCTTACTATATTAGTTATAGTGTATATCCACCCGACTAGTTGAATTAGTTAAACGAGTGATATTAAATTCACACTGTAATCTTCCTAGGTAAATTATACAAAGCAGTTTTATCGCGTGAAGCGAATAATCTAGCCAGTTACATCAACGCTGTGCTGGTCCCTGTAGGTATAGCTTATAAGTTCAGATATTTACATAATTTTTGCACTTTAAGATAATCCTATTTAGATGTAGTCAGTTAGTTTATTGAAAGAAAATTCATCAACCATTCGAAATTATGAGGTCCTGTGTTATATTAAATTAACCAGGGTTTCACCAAACGCGAGAACCAGATACTAACACAGCTCCCAATGCCAAACACAGTCACAGATTTCTGGAGATTGGTGGCACAGTACAATGTTAAACTGGTCGTGGCTTTTCAAACTAAAGTTGCTGGCATTGAAAAAGTGAGACATTTTTTTTTAAATTATACACTACATTTTACTGAAGAACTCTAGCCACCGGCACATAATCAGTGCACATAGTAACGCCTTAGTAAATCATTAAATACTTTTTATTCACATGATCATTTCAAGGCCATTTTTAGTGAGCAGGCTTATATATTTTTTTTGTTTATATGAGCTTAAATGGAAAATTATCAAAGATATTGTATCTATTTCTTTGTGTTTGTATGTGCAATAATACACATCAGATATCCCTCATATATACTAATTTTGTATCCGTTTGTTTGAACTTATTAGTGATATTACAATGTAATCTAAATGGACTGGTGTACGATATATATATTCAATTCTTAATGACATGAAATAGTTCACAGTGTGACAAGAAAAGAATTCTTTAATTTTTAGATTTCTCAAATAAATTAAACCTTATCATGCGTACTATGTGTAAGATATTTAAGTTAAATTAGATTATAGAAAAAAAAATGCAATTTATGAGTTACATTGAGGGGTCATAACCAATTGTAGTTTTCTAATATATTTATTTTGCTTAACTCCCCTTTTGATTGTCTCATGTTAAGCATATAACAAATACAAAAAAATAAGGAAACATTTGTTTTAGAAAAAAAAATTAAGTATTGTACTATCACTATCAGAAACTTTAAAAATCTCGTAGTGTAGTATATCAATAAGTTTGAGTGTTTTTTCTTTGGAAACTAATATTTTGGTTAATACATACACAGTATCGTCTTTTTCCGTTTATACCAAGAACACATGTGTCGTATGAAGTAGAGTTCATCTGTTTTAATTACCTTGGCATACCTTGGCCCAGCCGCCTTTGTTTTTCTAACCTGAGTTACGGACCAACCAGAGCTGGGTGGACTCAGGGACGTTCTACAGATTTGAACCCGGATTCGAACTCACTTTCGTGTTAGCAGTCAAGATCTCTACCACCGATGCACACATGCCGGTACATAATGCTTCATTCGTAAACAAAATGATACTAATTGTTGACTGCACAAGTAAGATGTAAAGGATTATATTTCACTTTGAAATACTTGATGTTGATATCTCATAAAATCATTTTCTAACTTTTAAGACACAGACCCTAGGCCAGTACTTGCCAGCCAACATGACAACACCTTTAGACTGTGGACCATATGAAATACACACAGGACCTGTCAAGTCTGAGAGTTTATGGGAGGAACAACAGATCACTGTCAAAGTTGTTAAGAAAGAGATTGTTTTCCTACCTGCCAATGTTTGTAAACTATTTTATTTCATGCTGTAGATTAGTGAGACAATATTTAGGAATAAACAAAACATTTGTATCTACTTATTAACATACATTATATCACATACATGAAAGTTTTAAAATGACATAATGTTTATGGGATTAAATTATGCTTATAACGCTTATAGGCTTATATATTAAGCTTAGAATTTTCTTACAATACAAAAAATGACAATGTTATTTAAGAAAACTTATATAATATTTAATCAACACTGTTTTTAATAGCTTGTTTTTACCTATATTTCAGGTAACCAATGAAACTCACGTGACCCACATCGCGAGTAAAAGCACAGACCTGAATCCCAAGAATCTTCTCAAACTTCTCAAACACACAAGGTCAAATAATGTACAGGCACAGGGGAGAGTACTCTACATGTGCAGGTAAATAGTCGGATAAATTGTCTGATCTTCAAAACTCTGTACATATGTGAACAATATAAAAATTAAACACACCATCACATTGCATAGGTTAGAAACGCTTTGGTTTTTATTTCTCATCATAAAAACATTAATATATAGGCTACCGTTTCAAAGTGTATTCATTGATGTAGAACACATTCGTTGTTCTTAAATTGCGATTTACTTGTAAGCTAGAATAGGAGTTTAAAAATATTTTCATATTATAGATGGAATAGTTATTAATATAAATTATAATAAAATACAATGTTATGAGGATATAAATCAAGACACTGACTTTTAATATTTTTAAAACTTACCATCAAAAAAATGTATATAGAAACGGAGCTGAGTTCAGCGGCCTGGCCTGTGTGTTGAGTCTTCTACTTGACCGAATGGACCATGACCAAAGCTTAACAGTTCCACTTGTTGTTGGTGCCATCAAATGTATCAGACCACAGGTCATCCCATCTCTGGTAAATATAACCTTACATAATAACATACTTACTTAAATGAAACTTGATGGTTGTTGAATAAACACCCGAAATCTTGATATAGAACAATTGCCTCAAATTTTTTAGACGTCATTACCTCAACCGTTTTTAGTCGGTTAGCGATATATAGACGATTTAAACATAATATTAACCTGTATATTATTTTCATACTTTTATGCTCTTAGAAAACTCTCTCATCTTTATGTTTTATAAACAATGACAGCGCATACAATTATATATTGATCCAATTCCAGGAGCAGTACTACTGTCTGTATGAAGTCTTACTCAGATACAACATCAGAGCAGCTTACTGTAACAACCACAACATTCCAGGAAAAAACAGCAAATACATGTTAGAACTCAATCAAGAAGACACCGTCTATGCTAATTGTTAAATATGTATATAAGTAGAGTGTAGCATTCAATAATTAACAATTCTCTTATGTATAATGCAGCTTTATGTAATACTGATTAAATTTGTATAAAACATTTTGTTAACAAACATTTAAATCTGTGTTTACATTTACATTGGACATTTTGGAGCAAAGTCTAGCCGTTAAAGGATAACACGCACACACACATATATACACACATAGAAACACACACACACACACACACACATCTATATATATATATATATATATATATATATATATATATATATATATATATATATATATATATATATATATATATATATATATATATATATATATATATATATATATATATATATAATGTGTGTATGTAAATGTATAATACAATATTTATAGAAATAAATATGTATAAATACATTTCGTTTTGTAATATTTAATTGTCAAGAACAAATTTAAATTAGCACTAATATCATATTGGTGTGAGCTCATCGATTGCATAATGGCGTTAATTTGTGCGCAAAATACACCTATTGATTGCTCGTTTTTATCATAAGTTATTAGATTTCGGTGTCACCCCCTCTCCTGTCGTTGACTGACTTAATCGTTATTCAAAATAATCAACAAGCCTTTAATCCTCTTTAACTTAGCGGTTTGTGACATCCCTCCACCCCTCCCCTTTAATAGTCTTAAAGTGTGCACAATTAATAGTAAAGATGGTAATTTATATTCAGTTATTCATACCGGTGAACAGCATTTTTCTTTGAGATATTTTGCTATTTTTTTGTCTTTGTGTTACCCCCTAAAGAGTGTTACCAGTTGCTGTCCGACTCCCCCCCCCCCTCCCCCCCCCCCCTCGGGTCGCCTCTAACGCTGAATTATTAACTTATACTTTGATAGTTTCGCAGTCTTACACATTTTACTTTATTGCCCATTCTATCAATATATTGTGATCGTGAAAAAAATCTAAATCGAGATTTGACAAAATTGTCCAGATCTGGAAATACTTCATATTGACATTAGGTTTGTCTCTAAACAAAATAACTTTAGTCAGTTTAAGCTAGTTTGACGAAATTTTAAATATAGGTATCATATCAAATTTGTAATTTTCTATCAACATTTGAGTGGTTACAGAAAGACAGACACACAATTGCAACATTTTTTTGAGTGAGAAATTTGAAAACAAAAACGACGAGATGTCTCAAAATCTCGATGTCAATTTTTATTTTTAAAAATAGAGCAATATTTCCTCTATTCTCCATAGGCGAGAAACTAAAAATAAAGAAAATTTATATATTTGTTAATTGCGGGTTTTAACAAACATAATATCTACCATATAAATCCTGCGTGTAAAGTGGGTGTGGGGTCTTTATTATAGTATGCTAACCCAAGCTCCAACAATCTGGCCTTCACTGGTTTCATATGAGTGGTTGTGTACACACTAGCTACACGGTAGCAGTGTGCCAATGTGGAACCTACAACAGTGTTGAACGTTGAATCAACACGCTTAACACATAGTAAAATATTCTTTTGACCAGCTGCAGACTTCCTGGTAGTCTTATAAAAAGTGTGTGCAATATGCGTGGATAGTGGGTGTAGTTCATAACGGAATGTCGCACGGTTTAGCTTGACGCAGTCGCGCTCTAGTGGATCGATTTACCTGTATTTTCTAAACAGTCTGACACGGGTATTCATTCAGTGGTCCTCTTCACTGCGAGTTACCGCCACCAGCTACCAACACCTTCTTAATTTGTGCTGGAAAAAAATACTTTTAATATTGACAATTTAACATGAAGTAATAAGCTATTTACTGTGCCGTCTAGTAATAACTTTGCTTGAGTACCAAGGGACCTGAATTACCTTTAAAAGACAGCTTCCTTATAAAAAAACATATGTAATTACAAAGCATAGAAATTAATCTTTGTCTTAATTAAGCCAATGTAATATAACAAAAATTAGTTTAATAGTTTCATTTTAAAAAGACTTCATGAACCATATGAATCGGTTGTTCAGAAATTCAAAATCACAAGAATTATAATTCTAAAAAGAATCGTTTCTTTAATGGGGCTTTGTGTATTTAATTTTGAGAACCGCTGGATTTTACAACCAAAAAAAAAAGAATTTTATACGAAAGTAAAGTTTGAATTTCATTTTTAATTATATATTTACACACTCTTTTGTGGGCCACTGCAGCTCAATGCCGAAAGTGACAAGCATTAAAAGAGAAAACCTAGATAACCATGGCTTCAAGACTTTTCATTTTCATTTTGTTGTACTGTTGCCATTATGCTATTACTGAAGGTAGAGTCTGAATAATATAACGTTGTAGTGTGATGTATTCAGTGGCGTATGCAGGTTTTCACGGTAGGTCGAGGGCTGAGTGCACAAAAAGGAGTCAGCTCCACGATATACATATATATATATATATATATATATATATATATATATATATATATATATATATATATATATATATATATATATTTATGTGTGTGTGCTTAAATGTGTTTTTTTTAATTAAAAAAAAAGGAGGTAGACCATTTTTTAAAGGGACGCTTGTATCGCCCAAAGAAACCAAGACAACGGGACAGATAAGTAGATATGCATTTAACTGGCAGTAATCCTTTTTTAACATGTGCACAAGTTTTCCTTGGTCAGGAGATACAAGCATTCTATTTTTTTTAATTAAATAAACATTCTGCAAAATAACTGACGTGGAAAGCAATTAATCGGACAAGGGGTGGTTGGATGGTAGGTCTTATGACTAGTAAACTGGATACGCCACTCGATAAATTCAATTTGAACTCCACTAGATTTCCTATCAAAACTAGTGTATGTTATGTGAGATATTTCAGCCTGTACCGAGGGATGGTTTGGCCCCAGCTGTCAGTATAAGTGTCACTGCCTCAACAATGACTGTGACAGTGATGGACGTTGTGTTGACAGTGAGACCTGTGAGCCCGGATGGTTCGGGCCGCTATGCCAATACTGTAAGCTTATAATTTATAATCTTAATAAAGATCAGTATAATACAGTTCTTTTCGAAACAGCTTAGAAATCGTTTTTACTGATTTTATTTTAAAGTATATAATTTACACTTTAGATTTGTTTTACAGTGTAATTTTTTCCTACAAAATAAATATAAATAAATTTAAAGTATATAGAATTTTTAGCTTTATTGTGAATTTATTTGCACACTTCATTTAACAAAAAACAATTATATCTTATATACGAATAAGTACCATCACAGATTGTAAAGGCTAAAAAGCATAATTTATCGTCATAACACCTGTGAATTGTGCTGTATTCTGGACTGATATACCGGACCTACGCAGCGTATCACTAATGTGTTCTTGTGTACTACACATAATATGGGAATATCATACTGAATGTTTAGAATAATTTTCTTGAATTTTTATTACCCGCGGTTTTCTGGGTGTGTCATTTGCTTTATTTGATGTTTCACGTGTTGTTGCTTTTTTTTCTTGAAAATAATTTTCTTTGAAATCTTGTTTTTTTTTTATTTAACGTATCAAATTGTGTATGTGTATGATATCTTAAAGTTGTAACACCTTTGATACCCTAACTATCAGATGATCTAGCACAAAGGACAAGTAGTGTTGCACCAAGTTGTAGCCAGACGACAGACAACAATGATAAGACCTGTTCCAGCCTACAGACGCTAGAGTTTAACTGGTCTATTGGCTACCAGTTCACGTGGTTCCGAATAGTTCTGGCTCAACCTGGTACGTATAACTGTAGGAAACATGGACAGAATGTTGTAATATAGATACGTTACTAATGTAAACTTAACATTTGCATTTTTTTAAATAGTGGCAAAAGTAATGACGTTTTGAAATATTATTAGAACATTATTGTTTACATCGGTTCTCAGAAAAAAAAGTTCGCAACGATAAAAGGATAAACAGATAAATGTGCAAACAGAAAAATGCGTACACAGAACAGCGCGAAAAGTGAAAAGTGCGCAAAGAGAAAAATGTTAATTGTTCGCTAATTTATGTTTGCACATATTTCCGTTGCGCATTTTTCAGATCATTGTTCACAGCGGACTTGTCCTTACTAGCCCGAACGTCTCGAGTCAAGAGACAAGATAGGACTTACCCAAGTCCAAGTAGGGTACTTACTCATGTAAGGGAAACTACAGGAATATACGCATCGTGCTGACCACACATACATATCATCATAAGCGGTGGTCAAAATACAGATCAGGTCTATTATCAGATCCGAGAGGAGAATTTTGTTTTACTGTTATTTTTACACAGGTTCTCTGGATAAGCTAGTTGTCAGCCTTAAGGAAAGTAGCCGCAGTCTTGCGAATATCACATGTTCTGATCAAGGACAATACAAAGTAAATGAGAAAATAACAGACATCGTTTGCAATATAAGAGTTACAGCTACCCGAATCACATTTGACTTTCAATCTATTACAACTGTTTGTTCAGTTTATATTAGTGGAGGTAAGCCATGTTCTCTTCTCTTTTAAATTGTGTGCAAAAGCATTAGTGTATTGGCAAATCAATCCGTTTATGAAAATTATAATCTTTGATATTTTTTGTAAAATAACATTTCTTCTGGATTATACTTTTAGAGTTTTAAAAGAAAATAATAATGAGTTAATTATGAACAATCATATATTTTCATTTATTATATTCAAATGTGTGACGATTTGCAAACTTTTCTGTAGGTCGAAATGTTGCTTTAAAACAAGCAACTGTACAGTCGAGTGACTATTCTGATCTAAGAGGTGTATACCTTTCTTCTAAAGCTGTAGACGGGAATAACAGTGGTAACATTTTGGAGCTGTCATGTTCACACACACAAAGTGAAAGTTTTAATTTTTGGAAAGTTTTTTTCAACAGACCTTATGACATCAACAGATATGTTATTTACAACAGAGGTAACGCATCCGTTTTGAGATTTTTTAAAATAAATTTAAATAACAAAACATAATATGTTCAAATGTCATAAAATTTTATTTTTCTTTATATAAGTATTATTCAAAATGCATACTTTCAATAATAATAACAATTACTAATTATTTATTTTGAAAATTTGCACAGATAATCTTCGAGAAAGGCTATCTGGTTTTGTATTGGTAACCAGAGACAGTGTTAACCGATCCTTGTTTACGTTCACCGATCCAGCCGTCAATATGGACGTCGGTGTATACAACATAACAAGTAAAACATCAGTTGCTGCCACATACACCCAAATAAGTGGAACAACATTCTTGACCTTATGTGAAGTTGAAATATACGGCGGTGTGTACACAAGATTAAGATGTCCCATTGTGGCTCTTGTGTGTATTTTAAGGAAAAATGTATTTTAAAATGCGTATTTAAAATGATAGTGTATATTATATTTCAGATAATCACTGTTCACAAATATATTTCGGGCTTGAATGTAATATGAACTGTAATTGTATGAACCCAACTGAGAAATGTTTTGTAGCTACAGGCGGATGTCGGTCTGGTTGTGCTGCTGGTTATCAAGGGGAGGGGTGCTTACAAGGTAACTCATTATTTTATATGATATAAGCATGTTTATTAAGTAAACAATATGCATTAGATTCGCATGTTAGTTTTTTATAGTTTGTGTGATGATTTTACCTATGCATTGATTTTAACCTTGTTAATATTATTAATTAGCATAAACATAACATAAATATGAGGCATTGGTTTTAGAAAAATGTTTGTGTTATAGTGTATTAATGGTTGCGAAACAAAAGGGTGAAGTACTGTTGTATACTTCAGTGTATTTTACGTGCTTTCCTGCAGAGTGTGGTGCCACAACATACGGCATCAACTGCAGTTTGAGATGCAGCATCAACTGTCTAAGACAGCAATGTCACCATATCAATGGTTCATGTGAAGAATGTGTGGCAGGCAGAGAAGGAGCTTTTTGTGAAGAAGGTAGCAATGCTGTGATTGTAATCCCTAAAATATAGGCCGATACATATATATATATATATATATATATATATATATATATATATATATATATATATATATATATATATATATATATATATATATATGTGTGTGTGTGTGTGTGTGTCTCGTGCAGAATATAAATGTGAACATCAGGGCCAAGAATGCTTTAACCTATGCCCTGCTAATAGTCTGGAACTATTTTCTTGCAATAGTAGCGACAATTGTTTTAAATATTAAGTTGGTTTTTATGGTATATTTTGTGAAGGTAGTGTACATGAACAGCCAGGCTATTTTTAAATATCCTAAGAATTCTCGTAATAACAGAAATCGACAACCAAGACTTCTTCTGAAATTCTAAAATGATACACATTAATATGCATTTATTGCTGCCAAACTTTGACATGTAAAGGCTTTGTCAAAGTCTAAATTCTATAATTAGTACTGTATGTGTTTTTGTATCGTAAAGTTCTGTGTTTAAGTATTTCTAGAGTATCATTAAACACAATTATCGTTACTTTGTAAAACATTTATATTACAGGTTCAGAAAAATAAGCCACACTGTCTTTTCTTTCAGAAAACCAAATATTATTGTAAATTGTATTATATAAATTAATGTATACTGAATAAAGATGAGATTTAAAAAAAAACGTTCGTACTTCCCAGGATGTGTTAGCGGTTTGTACGGAGACACATGCCAGTATAACGAAACGGATCTTTGGTGCAACAAATTCAATGGGACGTGTGTGTATGGCTTAGGAGATGTTTTACATGGAAACGTACGGAGCAATGGTATGTGTACTTCTAATTCAACATAGTATGTTTAAAGCTAGGACAGTGTAAAACTGATGAATATCAGCTTCCATGCCTCTATTACAAACATGTTGCTTTTAATCAACTAGGTGAATGGTACATTGCGAGGTTGTATTGTGCTCACAATGCTTTACTCAGCAGATGATAGACTGGCAGAAGGTATCGGAATAGGCATTGGAATTATGTGTGTCGTGTTTCTAGTAGTAGCAGTTGCTATGTTCATCATTCGTAGATGTGTAACGACGACTAACTTAACTGTTGAAATACGTCCAAGGGAACAACAAAGCGAAACAAGTAAGTTCGTGCTAAAATATATTGCATAAGTTAGCCGACTTTTTTTTTTACCTAGGAAATGTTTATTACAGGTATGGATATTCTTGTATGCGGAGTATCTTATTATATGTTGGATATATCTAGATATATTTTAAATTGCAAATGTGAGTGTCGTTTTTTGCACATGCTCACCTGATTCAAATTAAAATCCCGTAGTTTAATTATAAATTTAACAATTAAGTAAATCATGTGTAGAGTAATTAATATGTTTTTGACTACTGTTATTGTTATACTTGTATCATGGTATACACATTAAAGCATTTTAAAGTTAGAAAAAAAAGGTATAATGATACGTTAAAGTCAATAGTCAAGAATTTAAATTATTTTTACAGCCCAGTATTCCCACACAGAAAACAGCGGTGCACAAGCAGGACAATCATCACACCAATACGATGAAATTATACTTGACACTGGAGCTTACGATCACATCACCCCACACAACACAATGCCATCACATTATGAACGTGTTGATATAAACACAGAAAACAGTCACATATAAATATGTTAAGGTTGTTATACTTTATAGTATTATTTTTCTATATAGCGCATATAATATACAGATCGATGTTGCAATGTGTTTTGAAATATGTTTTAACATTTTAAAATGTAATCCAACATGAGAGGTTGAAAAAAAGAATAAAAATTGTAATTTTAAATGGTTGTTAAATAATGCATTTTTCATTTTTAATGTAATTGTATAATTTACATTTGTACTAAGGGGACATCCATAAATGACGTCACGCTTTTTTTTTTACGATTTTTACCCTCCCCACTTGAGATCGTACTGAACTTTGCAGAAGCACTAGTTGTACTCTCATACTTGCAGCAACAGATGTAAGACAAAACTAACAGTGGCTAGGTAACCTTTAACGCATGGACTTTAAGTTTCATAGATAATGATAAATTAAAGAAATAGCTCCCTGTATGGCTGGGTTTTATTCAATGCAGAAAACGACCAGAGAAAATGTTCAAATACTTTATTTGTTTTCATTTTACACATCACACAGCATCCCTCGTCCCTAGACGCTACTAACAAAAGCCCCCTACAATCGTTCAATTCAGCTTTTATACCTGCACTTGACCTAGAGATTACATTACTTAAACACCCAGGAGTTAACTCAACTCACACACCCCTCTCCCCTACATTCTCGACTATTCAATTTTGTTCTAATCTAACCTGCAACTGAGCCGTAACAGCTCCCGTATTAAATTGGAATAAAAATTATCGAAGGATAAGAGAATTTTACATATCAAAACAGCAGGTTGGAAATATTCAGACAATAACTTGAGAATCTGCAAGACAAGCGAAACGTTTAGTCAGCTAAAATATTTCTGGATTAAAAAATTGAAGAAAAAATGCTTTAAAATCTGAGGTTCCCCAGCAATGGAAAAGAATGTCTTTACTTATGTTGATAAACTTGGAGAATTACCAAACTAAAAAAAAAACGTTTAAATTGTTGAAAATGTCAGCCTGATAAACAATATTTTGAATACTCTGGCCAGATACCATCTGCATTTAAGATATCTGGTAGCAGAAAACACTCGAGATAAATGAACAAAGAAAAGTTGTCGATGGGTTTGTCGCATCTTTCAGAAATAGTACGCTACATTACAAGTAAGTAATCGCATAGAACCATGTTCCAAAAGGTTGGCCCAAACATACCTAGAGTGGGGATCTACTGACAGATGTCAAGAAAATGGACTGTAAATGAGGACACTTAGTTACCTGACGGCGTTGTCCAGCGGTCGACCGATACCAGCTCTTACGCCCTTAGGTCGTTCCCAAACCGAACAGCCCCTAATGGTGGTGCGATGCACTGTGGGAGAAAGGAGAAGCTAGTGAAAACCATGCTACCTATCGGCTAGTCAAACTCGTAACTTTTTTTTCAGTCCGCCTAGCTGATGAGCGAAGGTTTGAGTCTGTAATCACTGTATATGAAAGAAAAAAATAGGAAGGCATTTGAGAAAGTAAGAATTGGAGAATTTTTACTGTCTGTCTATTGGCCAACATGTTAAATAAAATTATTAAGTAATGAAATACGACCAAAATCATGCATAAGCACATGAAACATCCTTGTTATCGTATCCAGCTGCAAAAATGAAAATTTGATATATGAACACTCTAGAAATAATAATATTTTAGTTGTGCGTATAAAATAACTAGATACATTACAGTATATGTTTTGTCTTCACTAAATCGATTAAATAAATGTGGACTAAGCTTTTATATGAAAAATAAAACGCTGAATGTAAGGAATCGCTGTCGATTAGTTCAGTGTAATGTAAGAAAGTCATGATCATGTTTAATATCTGTTGAATAGCGATTGTAAGGCCATACATTTTAAAACCACTAATATGAATGCTAGCGCTGTTAAATAAATTTCATTTCAACGGATCAGATCAATTCGCCATATTTATAGTCCAAGGTTCGACACAGCGACGGCAGGGCGCGAGTAAAACGAAGTAAAATGTTTCCGAATGGAGAATGATTCGGCGTGTCAGGTAGTTAAGCTAGGTTAATGCTGACGTTTTATTTCTTTTATTTCTGGAGTTAATGTCATCAGTTTAAGACAGAGAGACAGTATTTTTTTGTTTCTCATATATACGAAGTATAGAGAAAGTCTTGTAATCGTGCAAAAAAAAAAACAACGAGATTTTTCCAAATCTCGTCGTTTTTCACATCCCTGAGTAGGAAAAACTAAATTTTGCAATCTTGTCCGTATGTCTGTGTGTGTATGTGTGTGTATCTGTGTATGTGTCTGTAAATACGATAACTTGAGCACCGTTACAGCTAGGTTGATATAATTTTATATATAGGTATTAATCAGAATCGTAGATCCATATAAACTTTTGAGCGATTTCCGATAAGCGGAAGGGGTACTTTTTCTATTTTCAATTTGTCAAAAGCCTATAACTTGAGTACTATTTCAGATAGATAAATGAAATTTCACTTGTAAGTAAAAGATCTAATTATCTGCCTTCTGTCGAAGTTTGAGTAATTTTCGTTCACCGGAAGTAGTAATTTTTGCTACTTCCGATTTCTCAAAAAACGCATGTGAATTTATAAAGTACTAATAATATTCCGCACTGTTATGTACATTTTATTTGGCGTTCACTTGGTGTGCAATTCTTTTTTTCTACGAGATTTTATTCTATTTTTAAAAGTTTAAGTATCTAAAATGGATTAAAATGATGTCTATATCCCGAGTTGCCATCCCCTGTTGTTTCATATAAGAATATTCGAAAAAGTTTAAGGGAGATCACTCCCGGTTTATTTTCTATCACAGAACCAGAACTGCCATACAACAAGGCTCTATACTTCACAGGTATTGATCGGCTCGACTAACAGGAAGAAAGCTGAAGGCGTCGCTTGAAGTTGTTTCACTGTATGCGCAGAACGTGACTGCTGGCTACTTCAGTTGTCTGTGAGATATTTTTTTTCTGGGAAACTTTTTTTGAGATTAACCATACGTAAGTTTGCTATTTTTATTATGTACCAACAATATTATCAATTTTCAACAGTTCTTCTAATTTGAGTAGACTTATACATTAAATCTCTCTAGGACTAGATCTACAGATAAGCTGTCGGAAGAAGGGAAATTAGATCTAGATCTAGATAATAAAAAGAATTATTAAAACACAATAAATAATTGAGATTCTTTATTAAACTACTTCAGCAGTTCTTGATTATTTGATATAAATCTTTGCTCATTAGCTTCACTGATAATTTAATTTGAGAATATAAGGAATTCAATTACAGCTAAGGAAAAACTAGACTTAATCCAGCATTGGATTGTAGATCTAAATCTAGATCTAGATTCTAAATCAAATCTACCGCTATCAAGATTCTTGCTCTTGATTCAAGGCCAATAATGAATTTTTATACTAAACTATTTTAAGCCTTAACTATTTTAAAGAAATCTTTGTTTGTTTATCTATGGAATTGGTTCCATCGGGATATAATTTAATTTGAAATAATACACAATTAATAAGGCCTATTCGGGTATTTAAAAGTTTGTTACGCTGGCTCTATGTAAAGTAACCAACTGGTTCTAATTCATTATTTTTAGTTTGCCGTTAGTTTTAAAATAGTTTATTCATCTATTATTCAAATGAGGTTCGAACTCAGAAAATATTATAGAAGGAAATCGATGTTTTAATAAAGATAAAGACATGTAAGCTGAGGTGTGACTTCTTTTTAGATGTGAATCACAAAGTTGCCTTTGGTAACTTGGAGGAACACTCGGCAGGTGAAGTAGAGTTCACCAGTTTCTTTGGCCTCAGTATATGTTAGGGTCGTGGGGTCAGACCCATACTCAGCCAAAATCGATGTTTTTAAAAGACAATATAACATGTTATCTGAGGTGTGTCGTCTATTTAAATGTTGGGTCTGGCTTTTTGTGCCAATGTGTGACAGTAGGGAGGGGAGGGGAAAAATCGTCCAATAAGCGTGAATTCCTTTATGGATTACTCCAAAACGCACAGTTATCCAATGATAACGAGTAGTCTAGATAATAATGTGTATTATTTTGAGTCTCAATTATCATTTACAAGTATTTATCCTGTCAAAACATCAATAATTATGTTCTGCGTAAATTACGCGAATTATTGCTGCTAAAATAAAATGTACAGACAATCATTATGTATATTATATATTCTTTGCTTTTTATCTAGGATATAAATAATGGCCGTTAGCAATTATCTTGTATGGATCATTTTGCTTCAAATAACATTATGCTCAGGTAATGTTTATTATGTTTAATACAACACAATTCTGTTTTTACTTCTTTCTTAGTTAATGTAACTGTACTTTATATTAAAACAGTAATGATATACTAAGCATAAACGTTTTAAGAAATCAGTTAATATTAAGCACTCATTAAAGCATGTGACACTGGATGGTTTGGCTCCAACTGTCAGTTCAGATGTCACTGCAAAGACTGTGGTGACAGTTTACGGTGTCAAGCTGGCACAAACTGTGTGGCGGGGTGGTTTGGTCCACTATGTCAGTAGTGTAAGTATTAGCGTGTATTTTAATTGTATGTGTATGTGAGTGTATTGGTGTGTGCGTGCTATCTCTCTCTCTCTCTCTCTCTCGCTCTCTCTCTCTCTGCGGGCAATGTAGGATGAACAAAGCACTCAAGCAAGAGATACGACGATAATATGAATACGCGTGCTTTTTTGCACCCATGTAGTCAGTTGATGTTTTGTGTTTTATGAAGGCTTTTATCCCTTTCTTGTTAATCTCATCCATCTGGATCAAGTGACGTTTCGATCTTTAGCCTCAGTATCTTCAAATAATTAGCAAACTACAAGTTCACACATGTACACACATATCTGCTGCTAAATATCACAATGTTAACAGAGTTTATTAAGAACTTTTATTAACTGCTTTCCTTGATAGACTATTAACGTATACAATGTGTTCACTTTTAGTGGATCTAGCTTACAGTGGAGCAACAATCACACCGAATGGTACACAAATAGCCGATGCTAATGACACAACGTGTTCAAATATTCAGAGCGTTGAATTTAAATGGAACAATCAGTACCAGCTTACGTGGTTTAGGATTGTTGTAGCTGGAACAGGCAAGTCTTAAATATACATTATTTAAAAAATCTGCAATAAATGCAAATACTGTTATCACTTTCTAAATGATTTTTAAATAAATAATTTGTATATGAAAATTACATTATTAAAGTATTTAAAATATTACATTTTTATTTTAGGCTTATCAATGTTTGAGTTTCTATAAAAAGGTTATTTAAAAAACAAAATACCCAGTTTCACAGCTTTGACTGTAACATTTGTTTTATTAATGATTTTATGTGTATTGCAAACATTGAATAATACATTGACCGTACTTTTATTACTTGCGACAATAGATAGCCTTGGTGATTTACGTATACAGCTCAAAGACAGCGATCAAGCAAATATATCATGTTCCGGTTTGACTAAGTTTAAAGTTAGTGATACGGTAACAGATGTTTTGTGCAAAGGCAATTCTAGAGCTACACAAGTCACATTCCAGTTTAATTCTACTAAATCTGTTTGCTCTATTTACATCAGTGGGGGTAAGAAGTTCGCATTTTTCAAATAGAATAGATTGATTGCTTATTTAAATTAAGATTAATGAAGCTTAAACGTGATGATTTAAAAGTATTTTTTAATGCACAAATTTTACCAAAATCTCACATGTTATTTTGCACTTGCAATAACATCCAATTCTTTTACTAGGCCGAAATGTAGCTTTGAAACAACCAACTTGGCAATCAAGTAATTATACTGAGCGTGGAGTTGTATACGATTCCTCTAAAGCTGTCGATGGAACTACAAGTGGCAACTTTTATCAAAACTCCTGTACATATACACAAAACCTGAGTCCCGCTTATTGGAAAGTTTTCTTCCTTACACCACTTATCATCAACAGATACGTTCTTTACAACAGAGGTAAAACCAAAACTATGCTTTCAAGCAAATCAACGTGCACATTTTGGTATATAAAAAAAAATTGACAACTTAAATTGGATTTTTATTAAATAAATATTTCACACTCTTTAAATGGAGGGAATGTGGGGAATTAAAAAATAAATATCAGTTAATGTTACAGTGTTTGTATCAGTGTTATAGTTATACTGATACAAACAAACGTTAACTATAGGTCTAATCTGTACACAACCTAAATTCATATTAAATAAAAACCAAATTAAAACTTGCATTTCGGAAGTTATATTTTTGCAGAAAATAATCAACTTAGACTTGCTGGTTTTAAGCTGATTACAATCGGAAGAAACAATGAAACATTGTTTAGTTACAACGATACTTCCATTAACAAAGAGCAAGATAGGTACGACGTGACAAGCACAAATGTGATAGAACCTTTATACACACAGATTAGTGTATCAGAAATTCTAACTCTGTGTGAAGTAGAGATTTATAGCGGTAAGTACTGACATCAAAATGTATATCTTATTCACATAAAGGTTTTTTTTTTAATTTTGAATTCTATTTATACATACATATATATATATATATATATATATATATATATATATATATATATATATATATATATATATATATATATATACATATATGTATATATATATATAATATATATATATATATATATATATATATATATATATATATATATATATATATATATATATATATAATATATTTTTTTTAAATATTTATTGCTGCGAGGTCTATTTTTTTTTTCATGGCAAGATTCATTTTTATTTACTTCTCTGCAATGAAACTTTCACAATACAATTTATGTTCTACAATCTTACATAAAAATGAATCAAAATATATTTACACACATCATACAAAATTATATGATCAAATTGAATCAGTACCATGCATGAGGCAATATGTGTTTACAAAAATATGTATGACGTGTCTATGGTTCAAGTCAATTTCTCTAAATATAATGCCGTAATGGTAACCAAACCAAGATCACAATGGAACTATAAATTTTTTCAGGCCTTTGTTGTAGCTGGGAAAACAATACACTTTTAAGTCATTTTGTGACACCCATAAATAATCACTGGCTAAATCTTTGTTGACAGCCACTAAACCTTCTCTGTAACATGCTTTGAAGAAAAATATCTTTGCTGGATTATGATAGTCAAATCCATATGGAGCGTTTCCTAAACATGTTGCTTTTACTTCACCACATACAGAATTCAGTGCTCTTTTTGCTGTTTGTCTCATGGTTCACCTTCCTTCCAATATGCTTGAGGTAATACCCAATGATCCTTCCCTTCTATTTTCTGTTTCACAAGTAAATACAATGTAGTGTCAAGTTTTCTTTCCAATGGCTTTCTGTTATTTGTACGGTCAGCTTCTGTTTCTCTTGCTGTAGGTGTAATTGCCTTAAGTTCTGCTTCCCATTTATCTTCCAAATCTAAGGCTGTCTCTGTTTCTTTATCATTAGCACTATCGACTGGTTCATTTTTCTTTAAATTTGCTCTTTCCTTTAATAGCCTAATTTCATGATCTGAAAAGTAACTAGACTCTAGTTCCTTCTCGTTGAGTAAGTTCTGAAACGTTGGTTCAAGTCTGGATTTTCTAGCTGTTAGTATAGGAGGGCGCTCAACACACACAGCACCAATTAGGTTATTGGTACTTAAACAGGCTTTAGGCATGTGGCTCACGAAAGAACAACTGTTTTTAGATCTGAATAGCAACGATACAGATTTTTTCAAAACACCGATAACACGAATTGGATGCCATTTCTGTTTGGTAGGCCTAGTTAATATTGCTGCGAAGTCTATATAATTTTTTTTTTCTTTTTTTATTATTTTAATTTTATTTCTTCTTTTTCTTCTTCTTATTATTTTTTTCTTTTCATTAGAAATTTTTTTTAATACTTTTATTTGCAATTAAAACAAGTACATCAACATCACATTTTTTACATAGTTTCAAATAAAAACGAAAGGTTTTGAACATGTACATAATGAATATTTACATGATGTGATGTATATGATTATAAAAAAAATTGCAAAGGATGACAGTAAAAGGGGTGAAGGTCAAATAAAAGTGTCAGAAGTCTGTGTGGGGAGTTGAAAGGATATTTTTCAGAGAATGTCAATGGGACAGTGGAGCATATTCTATGTAGGGAAACAAATTAAGTTGACTAGTTAAAAGAGTGTTTTTTTATGTACTGGTCGCATTGAGTTTTCAAAAGGTTGCTGTGTAAAAAATGAGGGGAAAGAAACAAGATTTAGAACTTTAAAAAAGTAAATGAATAGATATTCGAAATTGATGTTGGGGTGGGTGGTGGGGTAGTTGGAACAGTTAAAGGGAAAGTGGGGTTTTTATGTCTGAGGGTAAGTGGATAGAGGGGGAGAGGGGGGAGTTGGTAGATGTGTCTGACGAGGCGTGGAGAGGGTGTCTGCGTGTTTTTAAGGCAAGCCAAGCGTCAAATTATGTGCTGTGTTATCTGACTGCTGAGGTGTTACCATTTATAGTGTGTGTGGGTGGGGGGGGGAGGTTTGACGAACAGATTGCTGTGTGAGCGATTTAGTGGGAGGGTGAAAGGTTGGTATGTTCAAGTCGGTGTTTATGTTTAGTTGAATGTTTAGTACCGACAGGTTAGGGGTGGGTAGGCGTGTAGCTATCACGGGGTTTGGGGATACAGTTCAGTTTTATAGGTCAAAAATTGGTGTTCACATAAAAGAGTTAGTAAAGTTAACAAAACAAATGTAAGTGTTAATTTGGTGATAATAAAATGAATACAAAAGGAGTACGGGTCATTGGGGTCATTTGTACGTTGTGGACCAAAGTACCTTACATATATGATAATAGTAATAAAGTAACAAATGATAGCTTTACAGTGTTTGTAAGCTTTATAAATAAAACAATAGACAAAAAGCAACAATAGGAAAATGAATGGCAAATGATAAATGATGCGACACAAAGTGGGGACATGGGGGTTGAGGGGTGGGAGTTACATTAATGTTGTTAGAAATGTATTTGGATAATACATCATTTTCACTATTTAACATAGTATTTCATCACAGGGGTGGGGGTCATGGGGACGAGGGGATGCAGTTTTGAGGGGAAATTTGATATTGGGATCATGAGGTTTAGGGGCGGGGGGCGGGAAGGTGTGATGAAAGGGGGATGTGTCAGTTCAATTAGGCGTTCCAGGTGGCAAATGCAGTGTAATATGTTCTTTACGTTTTGGTGTTGTTAATTATGGTATATGTGTTTGAGTGCTGTCATTGTCGAGTCGTCTACGATAAATCAAGTCTAGTACGTTTCCCGTGAACTGTACCTTGTCGTGTTTTGCTTTTATTCTGCTGTTCCAAATAGTCTGTCTATATATAGCTACCGTCCTTGCTTTTTGCTCTAGGTCCGTCCTATCTCTTTGTTTTGGGATTTTGTTTAGAGTTATGACTATATCGATATTGTAGGTCTCGTTTTTTATTATTTTGTTTTCTAGCGTCTTTTTCATGTTTTGTATGGTGGGGCATTCTAAATAAATGTGCGTTTCGGTTTCGGGTGTGTTTTGTCTGCATAGTGGGCAAAAGGGTCTCTGTTGTTTTGCTAGGGGTGTTGAATTGTAGATGAGTCTGTAAGTTATTTCCCTGGCTTTGGGTGTGATGGTTTTGAGGTGTAGGTTTCTGAAGGTGTCCATTGTGTCTGTTAGAGCGTATTTCCTACACCATTGAATTCTGTTGTATAGTGGAGTTGAGAGCTTTTGCACTAACTTTTTGTAAATGTTTTGTGATTTTTTTGTGAACAAGTTTTTCGTTGTTTTTTAATATTTGTAAACATTCTTTGTAAAAGGGACTGTGTTTTCCTCCTATGTAATGTGGAGTTGTATTATTGAATTTTGTAAGTTTGTTGAGCTGAATGCCTATATAGAAGTGAGCTTGACGGTGAAAGTTTGGTTGGCTAATTATTCTGCTAATGTGTGTTAGTCTGAATGTATTGATTTTGGTCTGTATATCATGCAGGTTTATTCCTCCATGAAGTTTGTTTTGTACTAATGTGTTGTGGCTAATGTTTGAAATTGTGGTCTGAAATATGTACTCTCTAATGATTTTGTTCAGATGTTTAATTGTTGGCTTTGGGATTGTTTTAGCCGTGGCTATATAGGTAATTTTTGGGATGACATACCTATTAATTATAGATGACCTAGCAAAAATTGTTGTTGAGCTAAATTTATAAAGTACTATGGTGTTTTGGATTTTGCTTAAGACTTGTTTCCATTCATCATCGTTGTTGGTGTGTGGGTTACTATAGTGGGTTATGCCGTAAAGTTTTAGTTTGTTGGTACAAAGCATGTTTAGTGGGTAATTGGGTTTGTTGATCCACCGTCCAAGTCCCATAATTTTGGTTTTCATTAGGGTAATTTTTGACCCACTACCCAGCCCAAAGTCAAGGAAAGTGTCTGTTATTAGTATGATAGATTTTTCGGTTTGGAGCGTAAAAGATGTATCATCAGCGTACGCTAAAATTTTTTTGTTTAATATATAGTTCAATTCTATATGTAAAATGGTTCTAAAATGATAGTTTGTAAAATGTTTGTCGTAGATACTACAATGGATTTAAGTGTTAGATTATTATAGTACTCATGGTCTAAATGTATGAGTAAAAAAATTACTATTGAAAGTGTTGGGAAATAATTTTCATTTTTCAAACTGATAGTAATAATTGTCGGCATGTTCATTAAACACAATTTTAAAAAAATATCATCTTTTACAAAAATTCTAATTATGTCTGAAAATTATTTATATTTAGTCCTTTAGCACTTACTTCCCTTTGATAAATTAGGAAAACACAATTACTTCCCTTTATAAAACGTTGCATTAGTGGAAAAGAATTTACTTTTTATTAGTTTGTTTTGGTGTTGGGAAAAAAAATAAGGATTGATCAAGTGCAAATGTTGTAGGTATTTTACGGATAAGCTTGGAGTATTATAATGTTCATTAAATTAAAACAGGCGCGTCCACCGGCGCCCCACCAGGGTTTAATTTGGCGCCAATGGCTATACTGTGAGCGCTATGGTGCATAATTTCGCTTTAAACAGTGCGATAGAGTATGGATAGTAAATGTTACTTTAAGTGAATCGAATCCGGGCATCCTCTGGCGCCCAGACAGGGTGCTATTTGGGGCCCCGGGCCTCCCGTATTCGGTTTGGCGCCTACATTTGTTTAGGTGAGTGCAAAAGACTATGACAAAGTTGGGGTAGTATAGTCGTTTATTAAGCTGAAACAGGCGATTCCGCCCCGGGCTAGACTGTGAGCACTTTGAGTTTATGTTCGCGTTAGTGTTTTCTTTGTGTTTAGGTTGGGTTTGCGCTAGTGGTAGCGTTTTGATTTGGTTCGTTTTTGTTCTTTCTTTTTTTCGTATTCGTTTGTGTTTTTTTCTTTGGGTTTGTGTTTGTATTTGTGTTTGTGGTTGGTTTTGCGTTTGGATTTGGTTTGTTTTCGTTTGCTTTTTCGTTTGTGTTTTTTCTATGGGTTTGTGTTTGTGGTTGGTTATGCGTTTGGATTTGGTTTGTTTTCGTTTGCTTTTTCGTTTGTTTTTTTTCTTTGTGTTCTTATTGGTGTTTGTGGTTGTGGTTGGGTTTGTTGTTAGGTTTTTGTTTTCGTTTGTATTTATAATTGTGTTAGCGTTATGTTTGCATTTTGATGTTTTGGTTTTGGTTGGTTGTGGTTTGGGTGGGCAATGCCGGGTTTATGATGATTACTAAACACACAGGTAATGGTCTTTAACAGAAAGGTTTTTCACAGAAGCCAGAGCAGGGCCTGGCCGGGATGGCTAGTATATATATATATATATATATATATATATATATATATATATATATATATATATATATATATATATATATAATATATATATATATATATATATATATATATATATATATATATATATATATATATATATATATATATATATATATATATATATATTTATATATATATATTTATATATATATATATATATATATATATATATATTTATATATATATATTTATATATATATATATATATATATATATATATATATATATATATATATATATATATATATATATATATATATATATATATATATATTTATGTATATATATATATATATATATATATATATATATATATATATATATATATATATATATATATATATATATATATATATTACAGTCAAAGCCCGAGATGCGGCCAAAGAACGCATTGGCCAGCTCTCTTGGCGAAAGCCCGAAGAGCTTTGCACTGAGAGCGTGTTTCGTACATTGGCCGGCCAATACGCACACTGGCCGTGGCGTACTGGCCAAAGTTCAAAGACCTTTAAGGGGGTAGGCTCCAGAAAAAACCAACTTCTTAAGTAAAACCTTTTATTGATTCATTTGTGTATATCCAACTTAGGGTACTTGAAGGAAAATATTTCCATGCATCAGGGACTTTTTTGAAAATATGGTTGCCATGGCAACGGCGGCCATCTTGAAAAAAACATCATTTTCTGGAGTTCTAAAATTTCATAAACTAACATAAATATCGGCTATATAACCATTGATCCTTCTTGTACTAACGCTAATAGAGTCAGCTGGCTAGTTTTTGTAACAGAAATCACTCTAGAAATATTTTTTTTTAATTTTCAAAGTTTGGTGTGACGAAATTCCAATAAAAATAATGCTAAATTCAATGGAATTTCACCACAATTTTTTTTTGAAAATTTGAAAAAAATATTTCTAGCTGTTTTTTGGTTACAGAAATT